TGGCATGTCTGGTTCTCATTCACAGGAGCAAACCCACTTGCTCTAGCCTGGGTTAAACCCATACCCCTGGCCCACAGCTGGACCCACTCAGAACAAATGGCTTAGAGACTCTGGAGATTGGGTCCTCGTCCCAGTGGAGCAGCGGGAGCTGGGCAGACACTCTACAGATTTCAACAGTGGCCTCAGATGAATTGCATATAAAGAGTTTTGCCATGGGTCCTGAGTTCAGAGCTCTCCTTGGTGATTGGAGGGTTGAAGAAGTCAGAGCTAGGCTTAAACCCCAGGCTCTGAGGGGTGAGAGGGAGCTGGCTGGCTGGCTGGCAATTAGGAAGAGGGATTGAGCTCTTGACCCTGGAAACAGGAATAGGCCCAGCGGGAAACAGGAAAGTGGGCTTCACCTTTCTGTAAAGAACTTGGCACTTATATCTTGCCTCTTCCACAGTTATTCTGTGCTTGCCCCCCAAATCTTGGATTTCCCTTCCTTTCCTTCTTCATTTTTTGTTCAAATCATTTTGCAAATGCATTTGTAAGCATGTACCGTATTCATTCCTGGGGGCAGGCCAGAGCTAGCCCACTTTATAGATGAGTAAACAGAGGTGAGGTGACTTGGTCATGGTCACCTCTTGGGGCATGCAGGCCTCAGAGCTAGACTCCAGGTCCCTCCCTGCCACCCCAGCCAAGCTGGCTAACTGCCCTACATAACTTCCTTTGGCCCCCACAGGAAGCCATCTGAATCTGGCATTCTAAAATGGCCTCTTGGGCTGTTGGAGTGGCTGAAAGTGTAGACCCTGGGTTCAAGCCCCAGTACTGCAATAAATAAATAAATAAATAAATAAATAAATAAATAAATAAAACAGCTTCATCATCTGCCTGTGTGAATGGTCACAGTGAGGCTGTGTGTGTCCCTTCAAAGCGAGGCTTCTCACCTCTTCTTTTCTCCAAAATAGTACCCACAAGGTGACATCCATGGCTACCTCTTGGTCCAGGTGCAAGACAGGGGCTCAGTTGAAATCCAGATGTAGAGCCGGGCATGGTGAAGCACATCTGTAATACCAGCACTCAGAGGATTAGGAGTTTGAGGCCAGCGTGGCATACATACTGAGACCCTGCCTCCAAAATAAAAGTCTTTCCTCTATGCGGGTCTGGAGGCTCTAAGCCAAGGTTCAGCCCACTTCTTCTGTAAAAGGCCAGGTAGTAAATATTTTAGGCTTCGTGGCCCATACACCGGCCATTGCAATCATGCAATCATTTAATTCTGCCTTTTTTTTTTTTTTTTTGGCGGTACTGGGGCTTGAACTCAGGGCCTTCACCTTGAGCCACTCTACCAGCCCTATTTTGTGAAGGGTTTTTCCAGATAGGGTCTCCGGTGCACTATTTGCCCAGGCTGGCATCGAACCGCGATCCTCCTGATCTCTGCCTCCTGAGTAGCTAGGATTACAGCGTGAACCACCGGCGCCCCGCTTAATTCTGCTCTTGTAACAGCATGGACAGCTGTATGTATTCCAACAAAACTTCACTTATGACCACTGCATTTTGAATTGCTTATCATCTTCCCACGTCATGATTCTCGTTTTTTCCACACATATTTCAAAAACAAAAACAAAAACAGTTCTTGGTTTGATTGGGGTCACCTGGTGCTGGTAACCCATGCTTGCAGGGTTTTAAGTGAGCAAGACAGAAACTTCTGGGTGGGAGGTGTCGGGAGGCGGGCCTCGGATTGGTCCTCAGTGAGTGGGCGGGGAAGAGGCCGGATTGGTCCTCCATAAGTGTGCGGGGGAAGAAGCGGAGCCACAGTGACGTATGCGCGGTTGGGCGGGACAAGTGTGGATTGGTCCACTCTCGTGGCGGAGAGTGCGCGGCGTATTGGACACTGAGCCAATCAGCGTAGCTCTGCTGGCGCGCCCCGCCTCCCGCCGGTGCTACGCTCACTTGCACGCCCAGGGCGCACTTCCGGGTACAGTCGCCGTGACGTCAGGAGGAGGGCAGGTAAGTATGGGTGTGCTGGGCCGCGGCCGGGCGGGCTGGCCGAGTTAGGTCGGAGGTCTGGCCGCCGTCCCATTTGAGGACGGGTGTGCCGGGGGGACTCGGGCCTCTGCGGATGGGGATCCGATACCTGGAGGTTACCCAGGCCCTGCCGCGACCCCTGACCCATGTCCCCGGGACTCGACCCAGCCCTGGCCTTTAGGCTCCCTCGGTTTCTTCATGTGGAAAACGAGGCCATCTGGGCCCCACCTTGCCGGGTTGTGGGTTAAATTTTGTAAAATGGAAGCCTGTGAAATGGTGTGAGAAATAACGACTACCGACGTTCGACCCTATTGGGGTCGCAACAGCAACTTGGGCAGGGTGCTAACGTTTATAAAACACCATTCTACAGATGGGGAAACTGAGGCTCAGAGACAGTTTGCCCAAAGTCAGGCAGCTTGGAAGCATTAGAGTGGAGACCTGAGGTCATATGGGGTCAGTACTTCCTCCTGACACCGAGGACCAGGTTTCTCTACGTCCATCCTGTAGCCGGCCAGTGCCATGGGCTAGGGTGATGAACCCATCTTAACACACACAGCTCCTGTAAGCTGTTCATCGTGCAAGAACTTCCGTGCGTTATTCTGTTCACACCAAGCTCGGAAAATCAATCCTATTGTCATCTCTTCCTTACAGGAGAGGCAGCACAGGTTCAGAGAAACGGGCACTGACCGACATCACCCAACGGGTGAGGAGTGGAGTTGGGATTGAAGTCCAGGGAGCTGTGGCCCCTCCGAGGAAGAAAAAAAAGAAAAAGAATGGTCACTTAAGTTATTTTCTTGGCAAAATAACTTAACCGGTGGAATAGGCCTATCCAAGGGCACTCTTTATGGATGGAGAATCCAAAATGAAGACAGGTTCAGGGTGATGGGGAAACAGTTTACATCTGGGGCTGTGTGCTGCTCCCTTACCCCACCACTCCACAGTCTGGCCGTGAGGCTACCTACTTGTCCTCTGGAGATAATGGTAACATAAAACAGCAGGGTGCCAGGTGACTCACCTGTAATCTTAGCTACTTGGGAGGCTGAGATCAGGAGGATCGCAGTTCAAGGCCAACCTTGGCAGACAGTTCACAAGACCCCATCTCCAAAATAACCAGAGCAAAATACACTGGAGGTGTGGCTCAAGTGGGAGAATGTCTGCTTTGCAAGTTTGAAGCCCTGACTTCAAATTCCAGTCCCACTAAAGGGAAAATAAAATAAAAAAAACTAACATAATACAAACTAAATTTGACAGTAAGACTTAGGGCACAGTGCTTGACACACAGTAAACATCAGAGAGCATGTCTCTAAATTAATAGAAAGTTAATTAACTAGTTAGAGATTTTTATTGTTGTTTGTTGAGGCAAGGTTCTTACTACATAGCCCACTTTGGCCTGGAACTTGTGATCCTTCTACCTCAGCCTCCCAAGTGCTGGGATTACAGGAGTGCATCACTGTGCCTGGCTTAGAGACCAAGTGTTCTGATTCTTCAGCTGGGAGCAACCAATAAACTAGGCCTGCAGGCCAAAACTGGCCCACCCCCCCACACACCCAATTTTTACATTGTGCTCAAGCTAAGAGCAGGTTTAAATGGTTGGGTGGGATTATCAAAAGGAGACTAATATTTGTGACAGGTGACAGTTATATGAAATTGAGATTTCTGTGTCCATAAGTAAAAATCCAGTTTCTGAGAATGTCCTTGTCACCATCATTTGCATATTACCTAAGCTAGAAAAATTTACTATCTAGCCCTTGACAGAAAACTTGCTAGTCCTAGCTAGGTGTAGTACGGCATGCCTGTAATCCTAGCTACTTGGGAGAAGGAGGCAAGAGGAGCGTGAGTTTGAGGCCAGCTTGAGCTACAGAAGAGACCCTGTCTCAAAAAGAAGAAAATTTGCCAGTCCACATTCTAGACTATCCATCCCCTCTTTGTGATGTCTGTAGTGTAAACTAGAGCTTCCTTTGATTGACCTAAAAGTCTCTTCCACACGTCGAGGGCTACCTAGGTCACCCACACCAACTCTTCTGGAACCTTTATCAGTAATGTCAGTCCCTTACTCAGTTAGCATGCCTCACAAGCCAGGCTCTGTGCTAGGGGCTGGGTAGATGGCACGGGTGAGCTGATAGGGGACACTGCCTAGAGAAGAATAAAGAGACAAGAGTGACGTGATGCAAATCCCCAGAAGGGCCTTTTTTTAATTTTTGTGATGGTACTAGGGTCTGAACTCAGGACCTTCACCTTGAGCCACTCCACCGGCCCTTTTTTGTGATGGGTTTTTTGAGATAGGGTCTCAAGAGCTGTTTCCCCCGGCTGGCTTCAAACCAGGATCCTCCTGATCTCTGCCTCCTGAGTAGCTAGGATTATAGGTGTGGGAATGAAATCTAGGGTCCCATGTATACTAGGCGAGTGCTCTACCACTGAGCGCCAGCCCAGCTCAAGAGGTGAGTGCTTAGATTGGGCAGGCAGATGAGGTCTTTAACCAAGAGCATGAGGCTGACAAATGAGCTTTCCAGGGAGAGGAACAACTACAGCAACAAAAACCCCACACGTCTTTAGGACTGGGGATGTGGCTCAGTGATAGAGCACTTGCCTAGCATGCATAGGGCCCTGGGTTCCATCCCCAGCAGTGCACAAAAAAAAAAGGGATTTTGGGGGAGTGGGTATGAGGTACAGGCCAGCTGCCTTCACCTTTGAGGACACCCAGGAAGCCAGTGACTGAAACAGAGTGAGAAGTGGAGGGAAAGAAACGCAAACGGGCCCCATAAATTTGATTCTAAAACATATAGGAATGGCTGGAAAGGCTGAGCCTCGGTGGTCCAGGTAAAAGGCCAGGTCAGGGTCATGGAGGGATGAAAAGTGTCAGATGTGAAGTTTACACTGGTTACACTGAACAAGACTAATATCTCTCTCTCTCTCTCTGTCTCTCTCTCTCTCTCTCTCTCTCTCTCTCTCTCTCTCTCTCTCTCTCTCTCTCTTCCCCCCCTCCCCTCTGTCATCAGACAAACGTTGCCTTGCATGTCTCCATGCCTGGCAGGAGGCCCCTCTGAGCCAGTGCCACCAAGGAAGCTGTGGTGGTCTCTTTACCAGGATCTGCACTCTGTAGGAGGGCAGGACAAGGACGACGTCAGGGTGACCACCTTGTAGGCGAGGACCAGTAGGCAGCTCCCAAGATGGTGAGTAGACAGCCTCTGCTCCGGGGTTTGCTTGTAGTCCTTGTGGGGTCCCAGAGGTAGCTCCAGTCCCCTCTGTCCCTGTACTCTCAGGTGCTGATTTCAAACTCTAGGCAGTGTTTTGTTTTGTTTTTTGGCAGCACTGGGGTTTGAACTCAGGGCCTCACACTTTACCACTTAAACCATACCACTAGCCCTTTTTGTTTTAATTTTTCAGGTGAGGTCTTAAGCTGTATTCCCTCTGGCCAACCTGGACCGCAATCCTCCTTTTTATGCTTTCTGCACAACTAGGATGACAGGCACATGCCACCACACCCAGCTTTTATTGGTTTAGATGTGGTCTCATGAAGTTTTTGCCTAGGCTGGCCTTAGACTGAGATCCTTCCGATCCCCACCTCCTGAGTTGCTGGGATGGGCCCATCTGGCCAATATTTTGGTTTATTGAGATAGGGTAGCTCAGGCTGGCCTCGAATTCCTCCTGCCTCTACCTCCCAAGTGCTGGGATTACATGCATGAGCCACCATGCCCAGTATGCCTGTCTGTGTTTCTTTGTCAGTCATGGTCCCCCAAAAACTGTGAAAGTCACTAGTGTCAGGAGAGTTAAATGGGTTTTTCACCCAAGTGGCCACTCTCTGATGAGACACTGGACTCAGTACCTTTTGGATGGCCCCTGGTTTCCTCCTACTCTGTACTCTGTCCAGCCTCCCTTCCCTGCCGCCATCCCCCGCCGCCCTGCTAACTCACAACTCTCTTCTGTACTGCAGGGTGAAAGAAAAGGTGTAAACAAGTACTACCCTCCAGATTTCAACCCTGAAAAGGTAAGGGCTGGTTCTCTCCCACCATAGCACAGGACCCTCCTGACAAGGGAGCCCCAGACACAGAAGGCTGGCCCTGCAAGGTCTCTTTGCCTCTGCTTGTCACCTGAATCTCAGGGCTGTCTTCACCTCTGGGCAATTCAGGTGGTTGACCTCTGTCCCCAGCATTGGGCTTGCATGTTTATGGCCAAGCTAAAGATAGGTCAAATCCTGCCGCCTCCCTAGCTCTACCTCCTCTGCTTGGAGCCTCCTCCTCCTTTTGATGGCAAGACTTCTTCACTTACTTCCTTTAGGTCTCTGCACACTGACGTCCTCTCTGACCATTGTCTCCTCTGTCGCATCCCCTACTGTGTTTTTAAACTTCACAGCCCTTAAATCTCCCTGCTGTGTCATTCACGCATTCATTTGTTTGTTATCCATCTCCCCCACTAGAACTTTCACTCCACAAAAGCAGGGATGTTTGTTCTATTTGTGGCTGTGTCCTCACACAGTAGGTGCCCAGGGCCCATATGTCCCGGCCACAGAATCCTGTACACAGTGCTCATCCTCACTTTGCTGGACTTTCCCCTGTGTCAAAAGGGGACAATTAAACAACCTGATCCCACAGAACCATTGCTGGGTTAAAACGAGGTGACACATGTAAGGTATCCAGGAAGCATTTGACAGTCTCATTATTTAACCAAATCCTCCCCACAGAATCTAGAGGGAATGGCCACTGTGATCCCAGTTGACGGAGGATAAGTCTTTTTTTTTTTTTTTTTTGGCAGTACTGGGGTTTGAACTCAGGGCCTCATGCTTGCTAGGCAGGCGCTCTACCAGTCCACCAGTTGACAGGAGAAACTGAGGCAAAAATTGAGATCGCTCGAGCAGGATGCCACAGCTCTTTCAGCTCATACAGGAGCAGGAAGATTCAGACTCACTGACAGTACCATGACTTCTCCATCCATGTTTCTCAAAAACAGTCAGGAAAAAATTGCATGTGTACAGAACATGTGCAGGCTTTATTTCTCGTCCTGATTCCCTAGCAATCACACACAGCAACTGTGTACACAGCATTGACACTGGGTCAGGAGTTATAAGTCCCATAGAGGTGACTGGACAGCTGCAAGAGAGTGTGTGTAGCTTCTTTGCATATACTGCACCAGGTTATAGGAGGGCCTAGAGCATCCGGGGATTTGGTGGGGTGGGCTCCTGGAACCTGTCTCCCAGGATATCAAGAGATGGCGATAGTACTGATTTAAGCCCACGTGCTTCACTGGCGCCTCGCCCTTCTGGCTGGATGTAAGAAGGCCTCTCCCACCCTGTGAGGCCCTTGTCCCAAAGCCCTGGAACACCAGAAAGTGTGAGCTGCCTCAGCTCAGCACGGCTGACCTACTGTCTTTCCCTGTCTCACAGCATGGCTCTCTCAACCGATACCACAACAGCCACCCACTTCGGGAGCGGGCTCGGAAGCTGTCACAAGGCATCCTTGTCATCCGGTAAGACCCCCACACACACCTCCTTGCCCCTTGCCATCAGTCTCAGCAGCCCCTGATTGGGCCAGGCTACAGGGCCATAATCCCATTAAGCAGAAAGTCACTGTATTAGTCAGCTACAGCTGTGTAACAAAATAGCATTGCTATTGCTGTCAATTCCAGGCACCTCTGCTGAGCTTAGAAGGTCCGGACTGGGCCCTCGCATGTCTTTGGGGGTTGGTGGCTGGGCCAGCAGGGCCTTGGCCGGCACAGCTGGGCTCTGCTCCACATTGCCTCTTATCCTGCAGTGGGCCAGCCTGGGGTTCTCATGTGGCAACATCAGGGCTGCACAAGGGAGCCTGCAGCAGCAGGCAGTGCCTCTTGAGGCCAGCACCAGGACCTGGCACACTCCCTTCCTCCTGTCCCATTGATTACCCAAAGTGGGTCTCGATTGCAGGGATGAGGCCAGACTTCTCTCCACAGGAAGCACTGCAGAGTGTCAGTGCAAAGGAGGGTGAAGCAAAAGCCAGGACCAGGCATGGTAGCAGCAGGCCCAGATGCTCAGGAGGCTGAGGCAGGAGAATCACCTAAACCCAGGAACTCCAAGCAATCCTGAGCAGCATAGCAAGATCCTACCTCTTTTTTTTAAAAAATGAGCTGAATGTGGTGTTGCACACCTGGAATCCCAGTAGTCAGCAAGCAGAGGCAGGAAGATTGTGAGTTCGAGGCCAGTCATGGCAAGACTGTCTCAAACCTTGTTGTGGGGGGGAAGCCATTAGAGATGGGAATGTCCATTGAAGAGAATCAGGAGGGCAGTTACAATGGTGATCCCAGTAGCCACAGGCTGGGAGATACCTGGAAACTGCTCCAGTGTCCACCCTCCAGAGCTGGGCAGATTTGTCTCCTGTGGTCCTGCCCAGCCCATCTCTGTCCACTCCTCTGAACCCTCATCTCGGCCTAGGAGTTCTAGGCCAGCCTGGGCTCATAACAAGACCCTGTCTCAAAGGCAAAAAAAAAAACCAAAAAATTCCATGTATTTTTGCAGGTTCGAGATGCCATATAACATCTGGTGTGACGGCTGCAAGAACCACATTGGCATGGGTGAGTCATGCCCTCCCCTGTAACTCCACTTGGTCCTGCAATTGGGAGCCCCTAAGGGCTAGGCCCTGTGAGACCCTTCCTCCCTCCGATCATGAATCAGGGAGGAGACAGGCACCCAGGTTGCAGAGCAATTAGGAAAAACTAGGTCCCATGGTTCAGATCCAGTCACTGCTACTTTCTAGCAGGGTGGCCATCATGTGCCTCAGTTTACCCAGCTGTAAAATGGAGATGGGGCACGGGCCTACCTGGCTGGTTTCTGATGTATTTAGCACAGCACTAGCATGAGTGATGCTCTAGGGTACAGGTGAGGAGAGGCATAGGATGAGAAGATGGCACACCCCCTCCACTGTTGAGACCCTTCTGAACCCTCATAGAAATTTCATTGCGTAGGTGTGATAGCTGATAGACACCCCAGCAAGCTCCATCTGTTCAGAGTCTACTTGAACTTTTTGGGCAACCTTCCTCCCAGGGGCATCTGAAATGAGAATCTTAGGAGCATCTGGCAGGCAAGGGTTGACCAGAGAACCTCTGTATGACCAGCTCTGACACAGAAAGTTCCTGGGAAGATAACAGTTCCTATGACCCACAGTGGGGAAGAGAAATCCGCAGGTCTGTAGCCTGTGCTGGGGAGGGAGTTATGAGCTGGGAACCATGGGTGAAAACCAACTTCTGTATATCGTCATGCCACAACTGGAGACTCGAGGCATGGCCTTCACAGGTGGCTGGGAAAGGGAGCCATGTGTGGGGCCCAGCCAGCTGTGTGCTCCACACCATGCCCCAGGAGCAGCTTGCCCTCAATATGGGAGCTGGCAGCTGTGGGCACAAGGTTTCAGGCCTGTCATAAGAGGCCACCTCAGTGCTCAGGAGGAAGAGTGGGTCCTGCAGACCCCTCTGATCAGACCCAGCTGGCGACTGCTTCACAAGCTCCAGGCACTCAAGGGACAGACTGGACCCTAGAGACAGGGGGGTGCGGCCTCCATAGTGCATGCGTGAGACCCTGCATTCCAAAAAAAGAAAGCGGCCTTAGCCTGACACGACGCACAGGTCACCTTCAGAGTCGTGAACTTTAAGCTGCTGTGCAGAAAGGGAAACTGAGACAGGACACACCGTCCACCAGTCTGAGCTTTTCTCTGGTTTAAGCATTATTGCTCAAGATCACAGTCAAGGCTAGAAATGATCTAATCAAAAAAAAAAAAAAGAAAGAAGGAAAAAAGAAAAAGCTAGGCCTGGAGGCATCTACCTGTAATCCCAACACTCAGGAGGCCTAGAATCGAAAGTTCCAGGTCAGCCTGGGTTACAGAACTAGAGTCTGAAAAATAGAAAACAAAATGAATGTCTGAACATTCTCCAATGAACTAACAAAAGCCAGGCCCTTTTCTAAGCAGTTCCTGTGTTTTTGCTCCTGTGGTCTTTGCAAGAGCCTCAGGGTAAACTGAGGCCTGGGGGTGGGGTGTAGAGGCAACTAAGATTGCCCAGCAGTTGGTGGTAGAGCTGTGATTTGAACCCCGGCCCTCCACTTCAGCCCACCCCACTGTGACTTAAGCACTTGCCTTTGGTTCTTCCCACCTAGAATCTCTGTGCTTCCTGCTGGCAATGACACATACCCCATCTATTCCCACCCCCCAGGCAGGGCAGCGCTGCTGGGAGCCCTCACCTGAGCCTCTGCTCTCTCCCTGCCCTCCCAGGTGTTCGCTACAACGCAGAGAAGAAGAAGGTTGGCAATTACTACACAACCCCAATCTACAGGTAGGGGTGTCTGGCATCTCAGGGAAAAGGCAAGGGGACTGCGGGTTATACAGACCACAAAGGAATCTTGAGGCAGCCACAGTACCCACACTGCAGCCTGAGCCACGTTTGTGGGTTAATCGTTACCACTCGAGGTCAGAATGCAAGGCTAGAAAGGGCCTAGCCAGAAAAGAAAGGAGAAAGGTGCTTACTCCTCTTTCTTGGTCATCCCCTGCAGGACGGTCCTGGAAACCCTGCAGTCTGTCAGTGGGACATGTCCCTCTGCCTAGCATCATATGTGGCTCCTGGCTTCCTCAGCAGAAGCCCAAGCCCTCCCAGCTCACAAGGCCTCACACATCTGAGTCCTCACTTCCTCCCATCCATCCTCCCTGGCCACAGTCTCCTCCCTGTCCCTCACCTGTCCCAGGGATGCACCATCTCTGTGTCCTCCACCAGAATGTTTTCCCAGACCTTGGCTTTTGGCTTCTGTTATCTCTCAAAGGGGCCTTTTTTCTTTACCTTTTTTGTGGTTCTGGAATTTGAACTCGGGACATGCACTCTACCACTTGACTTTAGTTGGTTTTCCAGGTAGGATCTTGTGCTTTTGCCTGAGCTGACCTTGGGCTTCAATCTCCTACCTCTGCCTCGCATGTGGCTAGAATTACAGGCATGCTCCACCACACTCAGCTTGTTGGTTGAGATGGTATCTCACTAACATTTTGCCCAACATGGCCCTTGAACAACAGTCCTCCAGATCTCTGCCTCCCAAATGGCTGGGGTTACAGGTATGCACCACTCTTCCTAGCCAAAGGAGCCTCTTCTAAATTGGTTACCCCCAAACATTGTGTGGTTGCTAGTCCCCCTGCTGTGACTTGGCTACTCTGGAACATCCGCCCCTCCCAAAGCAGGATGGCTTACTTCACTGCCCAGCAGTGTCATCAGTCACTGGCACCTGGCCTGGCAGAACAGTCTATCCTGAGTGAATTTGTTGAGTGAATGAATGGGATGCAAGAACGAATGGACAAATGAACAGACACAGAAATGAAGGAGCAAGCTTCAGCCCCTTTGGGTGTTTGTTGGTTTACTTGTTTTCACGGTGCTGGGGATGGGCTCCAGGGCCTTGTGTCTGAGCTGCATCCCCAGCCCATCTTTAGCCTCCTGACTGAGGGTCACGTCTGGGCGTGGGACTGTGTCTGTCTTGCCCACAGCCCTCCACCCGCTCAGAGCCCAGAGCAATGATGCAGGTGGCCGGAAGGACACAGGCCAGGGTCCCAGGATGTCTCAGGGTAGGATCTCAGTGCCCTGACCCCTGCCTGCCGTCCCTGCCCAGGTTCCGGATGAAGTGCCATCTCTGTGTCAATTACATCGAGATGCAGACAGACCCAGCCAACTGTGACTACGTCATTGTGAGTGGCGCCCAGCGCAAGGAGGAGCGGTGGGACATGGAGGACAATGAGCAGGTGCTGACCACAGGTGAGCCTGCCTGCTAAGCCCACCCACCTCCTCACCTGCCCGGAAGCCCGGGCCAACCCCATGCTGTCATGGTCCCCACAGAGCACGAGAAGAAACAGAAGCTGGAGACAGACGCCATGTTCCGCCTGGAGCATGGCGAGGCAGACCGAGGAGCACTCAAGAAGGCCCTGCCCACCCTGAGCCATATCCAGGAGGCCCAGAACGCCTGGAAGGACGACTTTGCACTCAATAGCCTGCTGCGGAGAAGGTTCCGGGTGAGCAGGCCTCCACGGGGCCCACCCTTGCCCCTGCACCTTTTCCTCATTGTTTCTGTTGTAGCCACGGTGGCCTAGCTACTGCTCATTCAGTCGCTGTAAGCACACCTTGGCCTCAGGACCTTTACACAGGCTTTTTTTGTTTGGTTTGAACTCAGGCCTCATGCTTGATAGGCAGATGCTCTACCATTCGAGCCACTCCACCAGCCTTTTCTTTGAGATAGAGTCTTGCTCTGTAGCCCAGGCTGGTCTTGAACTCAGGATCCTTCTGCCTCAACCTCCCAAGTGCCGGGATTACAGGTGTGCCTGGTTTATAGGCTAACTGCCCTGCCTTGGGCCCCTTTCTTACAGACATCGTTTCTCAAACGTGACTTTCCCAGAAAACCACTCCTCCCTCCCTCCTTCCTGCCCCCCCCAACATAAACACATTAAAACTTGAGGAACCCCCACCACTGTCCCACGTCCTTTTGTTCCTTCCTGCTTTGTCCAGCTCGCCTACTAGTGTATCAGCCCATGAAAGCATGGGGCTTTCTTTGCCCACGGACCCAGAACAAGGTGAGCATCCTGTAAACAGTCACACACCACTGAAGGACAGGGACAAGTTGTGGGAACCACACCATTGTGCACACTTCCCTGTGTGGGGGTGCACAAAGCTAGAGGGTGTGGCCTCTTGATGTAGTTCAGAGTCGGGATAGGGACTGGGATACAGTGCTTGCATAGCATGCTTAAGGCCCTGGGTTCCATCGCAGCACCTCCACCCCAAAAAGAGAGAGAGTAAATGAGATATGTGAGGCTGCTGGCATAATAGCCCACTGTTTTATGGTAGTCTTTTTTTTAAATAGGTACAAGTACACTGCAAACTAACAGCCAGGTGTGGTTGTACATGTGTGTAATCCCAGCACTGAGGAGACTGAGGCAGGAGGATCACGTGTGTTCTGGGTTTGTTCTAGTCAGCCTGAGTCATATAATGAGAACCTGTGTCAAAAACAAAAAGGAAGTAACAGTAAGACTCAGGAGGGTAAGAGAGAACGACAGCTTGAGGCCAGCCTCACACAAAGAGACCTCATCTCACAAACAAGAAGAAAATATCTAGAGAACGTGAACCAGTGTGCACTACTTGGACACCTCTAGCCATGAAGTGGGCCTTAGGCCAGCGTCACTGCGTGTGTATGATAAATTGTGACAAATGCACTGGGCTGTTCTGAGGATGACCACTGTCCCCTTTACAGCCTGTTGGTGACCAAAGCGTCACGCTGCGGGTCTGGCTGTGTTCTGGGGATGAATGAGTGAGGGCTGCAGACAGCATGTGTGTGAGTGACCGTGGCGTCTCTCACTTGTCCTGGGTGCTGGGTGACTGCTGTTCTCTCACCTGAGCCTAAAGAGGGAAAATAGCCCGGCACTCCAAGAGGCAGAGGCAGGAGGATCGTGAGTTCCTGGCCAGCCTGGGCTATGTAGCAAGACCACTTCCCCCCGAGAAAAAAGCTTCTTAGTAAGCGCCAGGCTTAGAGACCAAACCCTGGAGCAGCCAAAAAACGGGGGAAGGGGACTGAGACAGTGCGGTCGGGGGTGTGGACAGGCCCTGTCTGACAGTCCCGTGCCGGCGCTGCCCTCACGCAGGAAAAGAAGAAAGCCATGCAGGAGGAGGAGGAGAAGGACCAGGCCCTGCAGGCCAAGGCCAGCCTGGCCATCCCGCTGGTGCCGGAGACGGAAGACGACCGCAGGCTGGCCGCCCTGCTCAAGTTCCACACCCTGGACTGTGAGTGGGGGCGGGGCAGGGGGTGGGGAAGGGGTGCAGGGCCTCGGCCAGCTGACCCCAGTGAACCTGGATCCCCCCTCAGCCTACGAGGACAGGCAGCGGCTCAAGCGGTCAGAGATCATCAGCCGCTCCTGGTTCCCCTCCGCCCCGGCTCCCGGCACCGGCAGCAGCAAAGCCAGCAGCGTCCTGAAGAAGCTGTCGCAGGGCCGCAGGGCCGCGCCCGCCAGCGCCCCGATCACGGTGGGGAACCTGGGCATCGTGCGGCGCCGCGCATCCCGGGATGCGCCTGTCCCCTCGGACAGCCCCGGGCCTGGGGAACCGAGAAGGGCCGCCCACGACACGCCTGCCTGCCCCCCAGCCTGCCCTCAGGGGACCCCTGGAGCCCAGGACAGCCCACAGGACGCACCCGCACCGGGCCCCTCCCCGAAGACAGCCGACCCCTCAGACGCGGTGCAGCCCGACGGCCGCGGCTCTTCGCTGGTGGCCGACTACTCGGACTCCGAGAGCGACTGAGGCCGCCCAGGCCTCGCCTTCCCGGGATGGAGTTATTTATTTGGTCTTGGCATTAAAGCCCTGTTCTTCATCCCCTGCCTTGGGTTACTCTAGGGGCCGCCCTACACTCCGCCTAGCACCATAGGGTTCCGAGGTGGTACTCAGATGAGCCAGGGATTGGGGTCGACTTCCTGGAGGAGGCAGCAGCAGCAGCCACACAGGGAAGGCCAGAGGAGAGGCTGCACATCCTCCCCAGTTAATGGGGACTCTCGTGGAAGGGTCATCGAAATGGCCCCAGGCCACCGCACATGCACCAGGGAGAGCATGACCCCCCCCATCCTTAAGAAAGAGCATCTAACACATCCTCAGTGGGTGCGGGATGGCTGCCAGCCAGTGGAGGTGCAGCGCTGTGAACGCCTTCGTGCGGCTGAAGTTCCCGCCAAAATCGGGGTTTGCCCCATACCCATTTTTCAGAAGGTGGAAGTCCCAGGCGCAGACAGGACTCGGCAGCAATTAGAACTGGTAGCCTAGTGTGTGCGAGGCCCTGGGCTCCATCCCCAGCACAAAAAAGACAAAAAACCTGCTCTTTGGAGTCCCCAGTTAGTGCCTTGGTTGCAAAAGACTACCAGCCTTATTTGCTGTGGCTGGAGAGGTGGGGCGCGTCATCGTGCTCTTCTGGGATCTGGGGACGATGTTCTGATTCCCTAACTGGCCGGCCGGACGCTAAACACAGGTCCTGGTACCCAGTAGGTGCCCCATAAATGCGGCCACTTTTGTGGTTCCGGGGAAGTAGCTGTCGGTCTGCACTTGGTGTGGTGGCATAGGTCACGTGGGCTACGGCTCCCGGGCTCGGCATCGCTGGTTGGTGCGCGCATGCGCCTCCCGCTGTGGCCACGCGCCCGTGCGCCAGGCCCGCGGCAGCCACTGTGTTCGCGGAGGGACGCGGCGTGACACCATGCAGCTGGAGGCCATCCGGTACTCGCGGGGATCGCTGCAGATCCTCGACCAGCTGCTGCTGCCCCTGCAGAGCCGCTACGAGGCGGTGGGCTCGGTGCAGCAGGCCTGGGAAGCCATCCGCGCCATGAAGGTGCGCGGCGCCCCGGCCATCGCCCTGGTGGGCTGCCTCAGCCTCGCCGTGGAGTTGCGGGCGGGCGCGGGGGGCCCGGGGCTCGCCGCCCTGGTGGCCTTCGTCCGCGACAGGCTGAGCTTCCTCGTTACCGCCCGGCCCACCGCCGTCAACATGGCCCGGGCTGCCCGCGACCTGGCGGACGCCGCGGCCCGGGAGGCGGAGAAGGAGGGCGCCACCGAGGAGGCGGTCCGGGAAAGGTACGGAGCCTGGTGCCGCTCTCCGCGCTGACTGGAAGCTGTTGATCCGTTTTCACGCGTGTTGCAGATGGGAAACTGAGGCACGGTGCACCTACGTCCCATGTCCAAGGCCCCACAGGCAGGGCTGGGAGTCCATTGGGGCAGCCTGTCCCAAGGGTCCTTGTGCTCGTCTCTGCAACTGAGCCGCCCCTAAACGTGTCTAGCCTTCACATACCTGTGGAGGTCCCTTTTTCCTGTCATCTGTTCTCCTGGTTTTTGCTTTGAGGAATTTCGTGGCCTGTTCTGAGCCCTTCCCCGCCCGTTTCCTTTCTTCCTCTTCCCTTTCACTCCAGCCACACCATTCCTCTCAGTGTTACCTGGCCCCACCAGGTTGCCTCAGGGCCTTTGCACCTGCTTTTGCTGTAAGGTAGATAATTCTGTGCGCCACTTTCAGGTTTCAAGTTTCTGCCTTCCTCAACCCCCTCTTTAATTCTGCTTATCCACTGCTTCCACTTGCCTGACTCTGCTGCCTTGTCCCTCGTTTTAACTACTGGAGCCTGCCTCCCCCAACCCAGGGACATAGAATTTTGTCGTTTCCTCCTAAGCCACACCCCCAGCACCTGGCACACTGGAAGTGCCCAGTAAACAGATCACATGATCCAACAGATTGCTAGATTTCTGCTGGTGGAAGGGCTTGGAGAAAGACCCAGCAGAATGGCATGGGGCAGAGGGTAGGGGTTGGCCTGAGTCCCCAGGCAGGTTGGTGACTGGTACTGAGAGCTCGTTGTCACCCTCAGAGTGATCTGCTATGCTGAGGACATGTTGGACCGAGACCTCAGAGACAACCGGAGCATCGGGGATCTGGGAGCCGGCCACCTCCTGGAGCAGGCAGCCCCAGTGGTGGCAAGGTGGTGGTGCTGACCCACTGTAACACTGGTGCCCTGGCCACCTCTGGCTATGGTACAGCCCTAGGTGAGCTCCTGTCCTCTTGGCGGGCTGGGGATGTGGTTCAGGGATAGGACAATGTGCTTAGTTTAGCATGCACAAGGCCCTGGGTTAAATCCCCTGCACCGAAAAACAAAAACAACCCAGAAGTGGAAAGCCAGGTATGGTAGTGTATGCCTGTGATCCCAGCACCAAAGCAGCTGAGGCAGGAGGATCACAAGCTTGAAGACGGCTAGGTAGTAAGACCCTATCTCATAAAGAAAAAGAAAAGAGGAGAAGATAGAGAGAAAACCCGAACTACTTTATCCATTAAAAAAAAAGTGAATGTATTAATCTTTGTACAGAAACTGTTGGCTTCAGGTGTGGGTACATCCAGGCACTCAGACAATGGCATGACAACCCGTAGATCCCATCCTGCGGCTCTGCCTTTCTTCATCCACTGGTTGAAAGGGGACCACCAGGGTCCAGCTGGTGGGGCATGCAGCCAATGGTGCCAGAAAAACTCCCTTGTGTCCCAGCGGGGTCTGATAAGGTCACCTGCCCACCACAGGTGGATCTTTTCATAGGCCTATCATCAGTCATATGCCTAGAGACTGGGCAGGGGGTGGAGTCCATGTTCAGGAGAAGAGGAGGTGACTCCCCCTAAGTAAGCAGCTGGGTGCCAGTGGCTCACTTCTGTAATCCCAACTAGTTGGGAGGCTGAGATCCAGAGGATTGAGGTTCAAGGCCAGACCAGGCAAATAGTTCAAAAGACTCCATCTCCAAAATACCCAGAGCAAATAGACTGGAGGTATGGTTCAAGTGATATGAGTGCCTGCTTTGCAAGTGCAAAGCCCTGAGTTCAAACTCCAGTCCCACCAAAAGAAAAAAAAATAGAGTAGTTTTGACCTGGACTGTGGAAGGGGAAGTAAAGACCAAAGTCAGGGTCTGGGGGCATGACTAAAGTATAGAGACTTGCTCACTGGCATGCATGAGACCCTGGGTTCCATCCCTAACACAGGGTATGGACAGAGAGCAGAGACCACAGATGGGAGGGGCAGGGTTGCTATGGAGGTAGAGGGGTGAGGGAAGGAGCCATTAGAACTGTCACCTAAACAGATATGAAAGTTCTGATACAAGCCCAGGGAGCAGCCACAGCAAACACTCCAGGGCAGGACTACACTCCCAGAGTCCCCAGCCTAGGCCCTGCAGCCCTAACCACTGGGAAACCCTGCCCATTCCTCTTCTCGGGTCACCTCCTGGCGGGCCATCCACAGGTGTGATCCGCTCCCTGCACAGGCTGGGCCGCCTGGAGCACGCGTTCTGCACGGAGACCCGGCCCTACAACCAAGGAGCTCGGCTGACCGCCTTTGAGCTGGTCTATGAACAGATCCCCGCCACCCTCATTGCAGACAGCATGGCAGCCGCTGCCATGGTCCACAAGGGTGTCTCAGGTTAGCAGGCTGGGTGCAGGCAGAGCCGGGGGTGCCCAGGGATGGGTGTGTGGCACCCCCCCAATTTCTCACACACATACACCCCCAGCTGTCGTCGTGGGAGCCGACCGTGTGGTGGCCAACGGAGACACAGCCAACAAAGTGGGCACCTACCAGCTGGCCATTGCCGCCAAACACCATGGCATCCCCTTCTATGTGGCTGCCCCCAGCTCCTCCTGTGACCTCCGTCTGCAGACAGGACAGGACATCATCATCGAGGAGCGCCCAGGCCAGGAGCTGACAGACATTAATGGGGTCAGGATAGCAGCACCCGGTAGGCTGTCTGTTGGGTCACGGGGCACCCATGGCACCACAGGGATTTGGTGTTTAGAGCATCCTTGGCTTCTTGAGCCGTTCCTTAGACTGAGAGCATCACCATGGAGGTTGGACTCCAGGTCTGAATTTGCACACGTGTGTCTGTGCAAAGACCCTGAGGTAGATCCTGACATCCTTAGCGCAGGCAGAAGCGGGATGGATATGTGTAAGACTTTGAAGCTATCTTTTTGGGCAGTGCTAGCCCAGGATTTGTAGGGGTGTCTAACCTCAATACTGGGTTCCATGTCCACGCCTTGGGGCACTGTCGGGGTGAGGACCCCCAGGAACACCTGTGCTGGAGACCGGTGATAGCAGCCTGAGAATTTTGAGGGCCTATTCACTGCCTACTCCCTCTTCTTCTCCCTTGCAGGGATTGGAGTCTGGAATCCCGCCTTCGATGTCACCCCCCACGAGCTCATCACAGGTGGCATCATTACAGAGCTGGGTGTCTTTGCCCCCAAGGAGCTCCAGGCAGCCCTAAGTGCCACCATCTCCTCAGAGGAACGACCCTAGATGGTCCCCCAGATGTGCCCAACCCTGCTCTCCCTACCCTGCCCCCATTCCTCAGATTTTATAATAAATTTTTTAAATGACCTACCCAAAACACCAACCTTCCTCCCCTAACCACAGGAAGAGTGGACAGGGCCTTGCATACCTCTTTAAGAACCCAAGCAGCTGGATCCAGACTGCTGGGCTTCAAATCCCAGTTCCACCTCATTCTCCACTGTGTGCTTTAGGGCCAAGTTACTTAACCTCCCTGTGCCTTCCCTTCCTCCTTTATACAATGGGCGTAGTGCCTCCTTCCTACGGTTGCTGTCAAGCTGGAACTAGGTTGCCACTCCAGGTGCAAAATTTAAGAAAACAGACACCAAATAAGCCCAATAAACAAAATAATATTTTAGCGCACTATTTTTTTTAACAGAATTAATGCAGAAAAATCCATCATAATGAAAATATCAAGATTTTAAATAGAACATCTCCAACTTTGCACTTGCAACTTGAGTTTACCCCCACCAAGACGTGATAACCAGCCCTGGTTCCAATAAAAACTTTATAAACCAGGCAGCCAGGCTACAGACTATTTCACAGTTTTATTTTTGTACTTTTTTGTTGCAGTGCTGGGGATGGAACCCAGGCCTCCTGCGTGCTATCCAAGGGTTCTACTACTGAGCCACACCCCAGGTCCCTCCAAGTAATGTTTTTTAACGTTTAAAAGACTATAGATATAATTTTAAATATTTTAACATTAAAGGAAACGGGTGGGAGTGTGGCTCAGTGTGCCTAACGTGTGTGACCTTGAGTTCTATCCCTAGCACTTGGGCGGGGTTGGGGGAGCTGGGGATCGTGATTACTGAGGATCGTGATTACTAGCACCTTCATAAATTTCCCACCAGAAGTGAATTTCTCATTTAACTTACCCTAAACCTAATCCGGGTTTTTATGCATAATGACCTTAAAATAGCTTAAGTTTTAGAAAACATACAAACTCTTCTTAAGTGTTCACATCATTGTGGTTTCCGTGCGAAATTGTTGCAAAACGCTGGCTGCAATTGACCACTTTTGTGGAGTACTGTACCTTTAACTCAGCCCCGCTGTATCCCGTGAGCCTTTGCGCCCTCCTGCCCCGCTGTATCCCATGATGCAGTGCGTCTTCCGGTTGCTTCTAACCCCGCCCCCCGCAGCCCTTCCCCTTCCGGTGCCGGGCCTGAACATGGCGCAGGGGCAGCGTAAGTTTCAGGCGCAGAAACCAGCAAAGAGCAAGACTACGGCAGCGGCCTCGGAGCGAAGCCGGGGCCCGAGGAAAGGCGGTGAGAAGCGGGCCGGGAAGTGGCGGGCGAAGGCGGGCGGTCCTGGGTGTCTCCGGCCTCATGCGAGCGCGTCTCTCCCCAGGTCGTGTTATCGCCCCCAAGAAGGCGCGAATCGTGCAGCAGCGAAAACTCAAAAAGGTGAGCGGGGCGGGCGGGGGCGAAGCCGGGAGGACCCCAGCTCGCCGAGCCTCAGTCCGCCCCCCTTGTGCTGTGGATACAGCAGCTGCATTTAGCATGCAACAGGTGCAAAGCGCAGCGGTGCTGGGTGCGAATCTCACTGCATCGTGCGCGCTCAGCTGCTCTGTCCGGGGCGCGGGGTTGTTTATGAAATTGAAAAAGATTTAAATCTGGCACTGAGAGGCAGGCCTGGCTTTGAACCGCACACTAAGCAGCCCTTGTGCTTTTGTGTGTGTGTGTGTGTGATACTGGGGTTTGAACTCAGGGCCTTGGACTTGCTAGTTAGGTGCCCCACCACCTAACCTTATTTTTGAAGTAAGGTATTGCGTTTACGCCCAAGCCTCGCACTTCCCATTTTGCTGGGATGACAGGCGGGCACTACCACGCCCGGTTTTTACTAGTCGAGATGGCGGATCTTGAGTTTTTTTGACCCTGCTGGCCTTGAACCTTCGCATCTCTGCCTCTAGAGTAGCTAGGATTGTAGGTGTGAGTCACTGTGCCCGGCTAGCCCTGTGATTTGTAGCAAGTTTTTTAGTTTCCCCAGGGCACTGGCTTTTTCAAAACTGGGCACTCAGCAGCTTGCTTGCCTCTGCGGGTGGGGGTAACCGGGGTCCCAGGCATCCCAAACCCAGCCTGGCGTTAGGAAGCCCCTGCTCCTCCTCCCCACCCACGATCCACAGACTGACTCTAGGTGCTGGGACTCACCCCCAAATCCCTGTTCTCTGGCATCCAAGTCTGATTCCTTCAGAGTGAATCCAGGGTCCATCCCCTTCCTCCCATGTGGACCTTTGTGTCACCTCCTGTCCCGTCTCCCACCCCCAGCAGCCAGAGGACTCCTGTGAGCACCACACATCAGAACCCTCCACAACTCCCACTTCACACAGAAGAACCCCAAGTCGCTCCCTCAGCCAGAAAGGCCGGGCACAGTGTGCTCCATCACACCCCTGTCTTCATGTCCTGTCTTCCCCCATTGCCTCCTCCACCCTTCCTAGCCCCTTAGTGACTGCCTGACCCACTCAGGAACTTGAGACCGGCCAGTTTCCCTGCATGGCTCCACCCTCCCCCAGCTCCACTCAGCTCCCTTACTCCTCTCCATTGTCCCTGGTGTCTTTCCAGGGTACCCTTGCTGTCATGCCATGGTGTGACCTGCTGGCTCTGCAGTGGCCAGGATTCCCTGTATCTAGGCATAGGATTACCCTGGTGGCAGTAGTCACAGTCATTGGAACTCAGAGCAGGGACAGTTTGGGGAAGGTGACTCAGCTACCAATTTGAGGCCCAAACTGCCTCACTCCCCACTAGAGCCCCAGTTCATCTGCAAGAGGAGACCACCTGCCTTGAGTCTTGGGGACCCCAGGCAGGTGCCCACTTAACTGCAAGAACCTCAGTTTGCCCCAACTGTAAAATGGACATGAATGAAGCTGGGCATGGTGGTGTACACATGCAGTCTCGGTACCCAGGTGGTGGAGGCAGAAGGATTGCCAGTTCCAGACCAGCGTAGTCTGCATAATGAGACCCTGTCTCAAAAAAACAAATAGCTGGGAGCTGGTGGCTCACGCCTGTAATCCTAGCTACTGAGGAGGCAGAGATCAGAAGGACTGAGGTTCAAAGTCAGCCTAGGCAAACAGTTCTCTCGAAAAAACACTTCACAAAAAAGGGCTGGGGGAGTGGCTCAAGGTGTAGGCCCTGAGTTCAAACCCCAGGACCACAAAAAAAGCCATGAGCAGAGGGGAGAGGCTTTCCATGTGTTCAGGCTGCTGTCAGATTCCGATTAGGGGAGAGGGCAGCTGGCTGGCCAGGTGCTCCTCCACCTCAGGGCCACATCTCATGGCCTGGGTCACCCCTCAGGAGTTGGAGGTGGGGATCCGGAAGAAGATCGAGCACGACGTGGTGATGAAGGCCAGCTCCAGCCTGCCCAAAAGGCTGGCACTGCTCAAGACCCAGGGCAAGAAGAAGGGGGCTGCCTCCGACAAGATGCCGTCCTAAAGGTGCTGGCTGGCCCGGCGCACACTGGGACTCGCAGGCGACCTCATGGCTGCCCCGTGGGAGGAGGAGCTGGACCTTCAGTGTGTGGCCACTGAGCAGCTGATGGGCAGAGCTGCAGCTGTGGCCTGTGCTCCCCAGGGTGCGGAGAAGTGGTTCTTCCTGTTTCTGTCCTTCCTGTCCCCAGGCCCTGTCTCCATTGCTATAATCCAGAGCAATAACCCGATTTTCTTACCTCCTGCTGTCTTGTGGTTCTGTGAGCATCCTGCCCCGCCCCAGGCCCAGGAGGGACAGGGCACTTCTGCACCTCCAGCCTGGGTCACCTCACAGGGTCTCCCCATCAGTCCATCCAGAGCATGCTCCGGTGCCCCATGCCAGTGCTGTCTGTGTCACCTGAGCCTGTGGGGTGAAGCCAGCTGGGACACTGCGGAGCCAGGACCTGAACCCCAGTTGCAGCTTCCTGGGGTCTCCCCTCAGCCAGTCCTTGCCTTCCCTTGCTCTCCGCACCCCTCCAGTGGTGCTGGGGTCTGTGGCGGTGCTGCAGCATGGTGTCCTTGCCTCCCTCAGCTGAGCCAGGTCAGCCCTGGAGCAGGTGGCTGCAGTTGGCTGGTTGGGAAGGTGGGGCCTGCGGGTACAGTGGGTGGCCAAGACTGATGGAAGTTTTGTTTAGGGCTGTAGTGGGGTTCGAACTCAGAGCCTCACGCTTGCTAGGGAGGTGCTCCACCACCTCAGCCACGCTCCCAGCAGTTTCTAGAAGCTCGTGGTAAGACTGGGCATGGTGGTGCGTGTCTGCAATCCCAGCACTTGGACGCTGAGGCAGCAAGGTGGATTCAAGGTCAGCCTGGGCTACATAGTGAGACTCCGGCTCAAAAAGAAAAAAACTTTGCCCAGCACCGGTGCCTCACATCTGTAAACCTAGCCACTTGGGAGGCAGAGATCAGGAGGATCATGGTTTGAGGCCAGCCCCAGCAAAAAACGAGACCCTATCTTAAATACCCAACACAATAAAGCACTCAAGTAGTAAATGTGAGACCAGAAGTTCAAACCCCAATACCTCCTAAAAAAGTAAAGATTCATCCTAGGATTACCTGTGCTACTGTTCCAATGCAGACAGTGTCACCCCAAAGCCCTGTACCCCCAGCATTGTGCTGTTGGGAGATGCTGGGAACCTTTGGCCCTGGTGGAAGGCACCAGCCCCACTGGTCCCATCTGGTGACTGGACCACAGGCCCAAAGGGACAGGGCCATCCAGTCTTGGACTGCAGCCTCCAGAACCACGAGCTAAATAAGCCCTTTCTTCATCGGCCTGTCTTGAGTGTTACTGTAGCAATTCGAAGCTCTGTGACCTGGCAATTCCACCATAAGTAGACCTAAAATAACAGAAAACAGACTCACAAATGCTTATGCACCAGGACTGTTCACAGCAGTGCCAAGGTACAAGCAATGTCCATTTCCATCAACAGGAATATAAACACGATGTGGTCCAACCACACAGTGGAGTATTACGCAGCCGTAAAAAGGAAAGGGGTACTCACAGACACTTTAACATGGAGGAATCTTGAAAACAGGGAGCCAAGTGACAGAAGCCAGACACAAAGTGCGTGATTCCCTCTGCATGAAGGGTCCGGAACAAACAGGCAAACCCACAAAGGTGGGTGGTGGTTGGGCTGGCCTGGGAGATGGCAGACTGCCGGTGGACTGGGTTTTTTTTGGGGGTGGTGGAGCTGCAGAAGTGACGATACGCCATTGCAAATGTGCCGACCGCCACTGCACACTGCGCGTTAAGAGTGAGTTCCATGCTAAGCGAGTGTCACTACCAGTGAAATTACACACAAAACCTATCTGATGCAGAGAAGATCTGGTTTGAGGGGTCTGGGCCTCCAAGAAGGACCCCCCTCAACGTTTCAGAGGGGGCTGCAGGATGCCCAATAGTGGGAGGGAGGTGACAAGCTTTTCCTTCCCTCTGTGGCTGGATGGCAGGGACTTGGCTCCATGACCCCAGGGGGACCAACGCTTCTGCTCCCTATGCCACCTCCAGCAGTGGGGCCATCGGCCTGCTCACAATCCCTCCTGCCTCGTTGTGCCCATTGAGCCCAGTGCCACGAGTGACGGCCCGGAGCAAGGATGCCAGCCAGCCAGCTTCCCTCCGGGTCACCTTCTTCCCTGACCCCCAGGCTTTGTACTTCCTACTCCCACTCTCCTTTCCCAGGTGCCACCTCCAATCAGCCTGCCTGCCTGCCCTGTCCCCCGCCTCTGGAAGAGGCTGATTACACCGGGGTTTGGTTTGTCCTGTTTTATTGCTGTGCCATGGACGGAAGCCAGAGTCCCTGGGCACACACTGGGCCACTGATCCCTGATTGACTGCCGGATCCTCTTCCCCAGGCCCCCTGCTGCTTTTTCTGTTTTCTGCTTTGCTGTTGAGGGGCCAGGCCCTTGTTTTGGTGGCCCTGCCGCGTCTGGAACACCTAGGACTGCCTTTGAACTAGTCACAGCTCTGAGCTGGGCGCCACCGGGAAGAATACACAATCTAGCCTCGCCTTTGAACTAGTTCACAAGGGCTGTAGTCGCCAGCCATTCTTACCTAGTGACAGCCGTCCTGCCGCCCCCGGGACTGGTGGGTGGGCAGCTGCCGCCATTAGCACAGTCTGCATATTCCGCTCTCAGACACTTTGAACCCCTAAACATCCGCCTAGCGCTAAACAAAACTTTTAACATGTTCCTCTGTAGATGTGGATGTCAGTTTCCCTCTTTTGACAATTGCTTTTTTTTTTTTTTTTTTTTGCAGGGCTGGGATTTGAACCCTAGGTTTCGTGCAATGCTAGGTAAGCTCTTGAGCTACACTCCCAGCCCTTTCTATTTTGTTTTGGAGACCAGGACTCACCAAGTAGCCCAGGTTGGCCTTGAACTTATGATCCTCCTGCTTCCACCTCCCCAGTAGCTGGGATTACAGGCATGCACCACCATGCCCCACTTCAAAATTATCTTTTAACCGTTCTGTCTGGCATCGGAGAGGCTAGAGTTGGTGCCATCCATCACCTGCCTCGGCCACCAGGAGGCACACTGGCCTGGGCCAAGTTCACCCCAGGCTAGTGGCGCCCTGGCAAGTCAGGGAACCATGGAAGTCACCCCCTTTTGTACCTGACTCTGACACCAGCCCTTTTGGTCCTTCCTCAGAGGGGCTGGTGTCAGAGGGATGGGGTCTGGAATGTCAACCCACCTGTACCTTTCACCCCATACCAGGCCTCCCCAGTCATATTTACCTGTCACCTTCTTGGGTGACTCTTCCCTTCAGTCGGTCCTCAATCCTGTCCTCTGTCCTTCCACCTGCCATAAGCCCCCAGACACTGGGGAAACCTCACACCTCAGGTTCCATGCCAGGTTCTGCCCCCTCCTTGCTGTGTGAACTTCAGCAAGTCACTGTACCTTTCTGAGCCTCAGTTGGACCATCTGCTAAGTGGGTACCCAGCCTCCCCAAGAGCCTGAAGGAGCTGGGAGTCAGTGCTGTGGCCATGAGCTGCCCTTGGGCATTGGGGTGGGTCACAGGGAGAGTCCAAGTCCAGCCCTGTCCTGTCTTCTCTCTGCCTATCCTCCACTGCCCCCCAAGGTCAGGGGCTCTTCCATGTGCTTTGCAGACTCATTATTCCTGCCAGGGCTGCTCTGCTCCCGCGCCTCCTCCGCCCCGGGCCTGCGATGTCCACTTTTCCTGGCAAGGCTCAGCCACTCTGCTGTGAGCTTGTGTTTCAAAAAGGAAGAAGGGAAACGTGAGACGCCGAGGCTGGCACGCTGGGCCGCAGAGGGACTGCGTCCCCAACCAGGAAGCAAGCCAAAGTGCCCAGGCTGGTTCCCGCCGGGGCACCGGTGCTCCTGGGGCTGGCAGAAGAGGGAACCCTCATGAACTTGGGGTGGGGCCGTCCACGGGGCTGGAGGGCCAGGTTTGAGCCTCTGGGGCAGCCCCAGTTCTTTCCCCCACCTCCCCCCCACACTAGGGAGGGGACATGTGGGTTTGGGGTCAGGAGCTATAGATGCTTGGACAGTGAGCTCACCCTGGCAGAGGATAAAAGTGACTGCCATTTCCCAGGGCCACAGCACCCGGCTCTGCCAGAAAGGAGTATCCCGCCTAGCACCAGTGGCTCACTCCTATAATCCCAGATCTTTGGGAAGCTGAGATCAGGAGGATCACAGTTCAAGGCCAGGCTGGGCAAGTAGTTCTTGAGACCCCCATCTCCAAAATAACCAGAGCAAAATGGACTGGAGGTGTGGCTCAAGCGGTAGAACACCTGCTTTGCAAGTAGGAAGTCCTGAGTTCAAATTCCAAGCCCACCAAAAAAAAGGAGGATTTGAGTGTCTGGAACCCCAACAGTCCCTCCTGTCCTAAAAGTATTGCTAGCAGGTGGGAGTGGGGCACACTACAAATAAACCTGGAGACATCGCCCTGAGGCATTTCTAACCTCCCACCTTTCACCTGGATTGCTGTGTGGCTTTCACAGCTTTCTGACCCTCTCTGGGCTTCATTTTCTCTCACCTGTGAGATCAGGGGATCAGAGCACAATGATCCTACACCTTTTCCTGCTGTGGACCTCGGGCAGGTCACCCTGTCTACCTGAAACCTCTGTTGTCTCATCGCTGACATGGGATCGCTGTCAATATTTAAATCTATTACTATAGGATAAAGGAAGCTGTGCCCGCACACACACCCCACCATGATACCCCATTCTCTGTTCCTCTCAAAACCAGCCCTGGCTGAGAGGGACTCTGGTTCAGCACCTCAGGACGCCCTCTGTGCCTTGTTGAGGACGAGGGCGTGGCTGTAGCTGTCAGCCAGGGACCACACTCTGAAGGGGGCTCAGGAACCTTCAGACGAGGGGTCCTGTAACACGCACGGGAGGCACCTTCAGTCACCCCGCTTCCTGCCCACCAGCTACTCAAGAAGGACGCTCCAGGCTGGGAGCTCAGCTCAGTGGCAGAGCCCAGCCCAGTCCTGGGGTCCATCCAAGCACCCCAAAAAGAAAAAGGGTGCTCCACTAACCCAGGAGTCCTGAGCAGCCTCTAGTGGCTTCCACCAGCCGGGGCTTCCTGCTGGGTGACCTGGGGCCAGGAGTTTCCTGTCCAAGCCTTAGTTTCCTTGTCTGAGAAATGAAGGCGTGCTGGGATTACAGGGGTGCACCACCACTCCCAGAAAAAAGTTTTAAATTTATTCTTTATTGGGCTTGGGGGTTTTATGTAGTTTTACATTTTTGTGCTTAAAAAAAAAAATCAGGATCTGTGGACTGGTGGAGTGGCTCAAGTCGTGCAGCGCCTGCCTAGCAAGCACAAAGCCCTGAGTTCAAACCCCAGTGCCACCAAAAAAAGTTTCTTCTTTTATTTTATTTTTTGTGGAGCTGGGGATAGAACCCAGGGCCTGAAGCTAAGGGTTCTATCCCTTATTGCTAAGTCCCACCCCAAGCCTCACATACGTAATTTTATTTTGTTTCTTTATCGTATACGTAATTTTAAATATCTTCATGCCACATAAAATAAAACTAAAGGAGACAGGCAGAATCAATTTTTCAATATATTTTATTTAAGCCACATTTTCTAAAACATCATTTCAACCTGTAATCAATATTAAAAATTCTTTTTCCTGCAATGCTGGGGATGGAACCCAGGGCCTCCGGTGCTCACCACCCAGCCCCAACCCCAGCCCTAAAAACTCATCATGACATATTTCACCACATTTTCCCCTGCCAGGTTTCTAAAATAAATTAATAAATTAGGTCTCTGAAATCCAGTCTGTCTTTCCCATCAACAGCACAGCCCCACTGGGCCAGCCCCATTTCCAGGGCTCAAGGGCCACTCACGGCCATGGTGACCATGCTGGATGGCACAGGTCTGGAGAAGGGGGTTTCTGGAATTCAGCACAGCTGTGAGGCCTGGAAGAAAACCCAACTTTCCATATGAATGGGCCAATCCCGCCCTTAGGCAACAGCCTGGGTTTTCCTTACTCTGTGGTTCATTTGGACAGAGCAGAGGCACAAAACAAATGCCTCATCCAGGAAGTCACAGAGCCAATCCCTGTGGCTGACGCCTGTAATCCCAGCTACTCAGGAGGAAAGATCAGGAGGACTGTGGTTCAAGTACAGCCTGGGCAAATAATTCACAAGCCCCTATCTCCAAAACAACCAGAGCAGAATGGACTAAGGTGTGGCTCAAGCGGTACAGCATCTGCTTTGCGAGCGCCAAGCCCTGGGTCCTACCAAAAAGAAAAAATGAAAAACCACCACCAAGTCACAGATTGAGCACCAACTGTATGCGGGGCGCTGTTCTAGGTGCTGAATGGTGCAGGGTTCACGCCCTGCCGCTCACAGTTCAGAGACAGAAATGCAGCAAATTAACCGAAATTGATCAATAAATGACAATGGGCAGAGTGTGAGTCGGACAGATCCGAGAGATCGGGGTTTGGGAGGGGGGGAGGGCAGGGTGACCAAGCCCAGCTTCCAGGCCACAGGTGGTGACCTGAACAAACTGACTCATAAAAATGGTCACAAGTGTGGCTTTTGACATGTGCTAAATCACAACTTATAAAACTGCCACTTTCATAAGTCGAAGTGGTGGGAAAACTAGGAATTCCTCCTTCACCCTAATAAGCGTAGGGTCTAGAAAAGATTCGAGGTGCCCTGGATCAAAGCTCAAGGGTGGTCCAGGACCCCCTAATTGAGCTCTGCTTCACAGGGCGGGTCTGCGGCCTCCCTTCATCACCACCAGGAAGGCGGAGACCGCCTGTCCCCTCCTAAGCGTCGCGACTGAACCCAGCGCCCAGAGAGGTTGAGTGAGTTTCTCGGATCGCACAGCGCGGAGGGGGCGGGGCAAAGCGGCTGCTGGGCGATCCCGCCTCCCTGTCTCGCTCCGGGCGCCCCGTGTTGATTGTCCCCTCCCGGCGCCCGGAAGCGACCCTCAGTAAACAAAGCCGTGTGTGGGCGCAGCCCCAGCTGCCCCGGGCGCGCTGTCCAGCCCGAGGGGGGCGGGGGAGGAATGTTGTGAATGAATCCAGGGCCCGCCCCGAAACTCCGCATAAGGCCTGCGCCGCAGGGGTCCTCCAGCTCAGATTGGTCTTTAGGGCCCCGTGATTGACAGTGCCGCTCGCTGCGTTTTCTGATTGGGTGGGCAGGAAAAGACTGGCATCGCAGTTCGTGAATGAGCACTGGCGGTTTGGAGACAGGGCGGAGGGTGCATCCAATGGCGTGAGAGAGCCGCGGATGCCGAGGGGGGGGCCAATGGGGAAGGGCGCCGGGGGCGGGACGGCGGCGGAGGATAAAGCGGCGGCCCAGGCAGCTTCATTGTTGTGAAGAGTCTTAAAGGGACCGCATCACCTGGTGGACCCGGCTTGGGTCGTAGGGGGGGGTGGGTGGGTGCGGCGGGGGTCCCGGGGCGGCAGATCGCTGAGAAAGGACGGAAAGTGAGCAAGGGGTACTGGAACCGGCGAACCCGAGCGGGCATCGGACCGACCCCGCCCCGGCCCCGGCCCAGCCGGATGGACCCCCCGGCGGCCAAGCGGAGCCGGGGCTGCCCCGCGGGACCGGAGGAGCGCGATGCCGGGGCCGGGGCCGCGCGCGGCCGGGGCCGTCCCGAGGCGCTGCTGGACCTCAGCGCCAAGCGAGTGGCCGAGAGCTGGGCCTTCGAGCAGGTGACCCGCGGTTGGGGGGGGGTCACGGGGAGGGGGAGGGACGCACCCCAGCCCGGTCCGCGACAAGCCGGTCCCCCACCCACGGACGGCCCCCAGAGACCTCGGAGCCACCCCATCCGAGACACCCCGCGATCCCTAACCCTGCCCGGAACACCCCCCACCCTCCTCCCTTCATCCAAACTCTACGAACACCCCCATCACTACCCCCCCAGCGCCCCAGATCCCCAACACGGGACCCTTCCGTCCCCTCCCGCCCCAGAAACCTGAGCTCCGACCCCCATAGCTCTCCCACAGCCCCCGCACCCCTCTTGCCACCTGGACCTCACCCCCAGTAAAGACACCCCATTGTGGCCTCACTCTTCAAGTTGCCCCCACTTGGGGACACCCCATCTCCTTAGCCCTTAGCCCCACAGACCCTCTCCTCCCCCATTCCTGCCCTCCAGCTGTCTGGCGGGTCCCCTAGGTAAAGCAGCCCCATCTTTCCATATCCCAGCTCAGGACACCCCTTTCTGCCGTCCTATCCCCGCCCCACCCCCAGCCTCCAGAACCCACCTGTTATTTGGGGATTCCCAGTCCCCCTCCAGACCCCCCCCAACCTGGGGCTGCCCAACCCCCCCTGACTGTCAGCGGGGAGTCACAAGGAGTCCGTCCCGCTCCTCCACTGCCTCCCCCACCAGAGTCCTTCCCTGAGGGAAGCAGAGGGGGGACCTGAGTGGTAGTACTTGAACAGGTGCACCCAGAAACCCACCTCGGTGGCTCATGGGGGCTCCACCAGGAGCCCCCCCTCCCCTAGGTTGGGGCCATTTCCCATTCTCATTTATGGCCTCCAAGGGGCGGAGCTGTGCCTGGACCTCACTAAGCCCTCTGCAGCTCCCACGGGCTCTGTGGTCTGAGTTTGGGGGTGTTCTTTGCTTCCCGCCTCTCCCAAGTTAGGACCCGATGGGTTTGGGCCAATTGTGGATGCATCAGGCTGATTCATGGGCCGGAAAATCCCTCCTTAGTCATTCGCCAACTGTCACTCAGCCAGTCACTGGCTCTCCCACTTCCCCCAGAAACTGCTGGTGTGTGACACCAGCAGAATAACTCTAAAACCATCTCCAAAGCTCCCGGGACCTGCCCAGACTGGTCAGGGACTGGGAAGGCTCTTGGAATCTCCTGTAACCCTTTGGGAGTTACTGTTTCACTCTGACAAAACTGGGGCACAGAGAGGTTGAGAAACTCACCCTAGGTCACCCAGCCAGTGAGTAGCCAACCCAGACTGGAACACAGGCTCAACCAGCTTGTTCCATTGCTTGGAGCCTACAGGGGTGGCCAGGACAGCCTTCCTTCCCCTCCTGAGGACCTTTCCCCAGAGGAGGGGTGTGAAAAGGAAACTGAGGAATGGAGTCTGTCTTCTTCTCAGACCCGGGGTTCTGAGCAAATGAATTCACCTCATACCTGAGCCTCAGAGTCCTAGCTGTAAGTCATGAGTTAGTTGTGAGAATTAGAGAAAGATCACACATTAAAAAGCATTTAGCTGGTGCTGGTGGCTCACGTCTGTAATCCCAGCTACTCGGGAGGCAGAGATCAGGAGGATCAATGTTCAAAGCCAGCCAGGGCAAATGGTTCAAGAGACCATATCTCGAAAAACTCGTCACATAAAAGGGCTGGTGGAGTAGCTCAAGGTGTAGGCCCTGAGTTCAAGTCCCAGTACCTCAAAAAAAGAAAGTATTTAATGTAGCCTGGGCTGCATGGGTCAGTGTTCATAGAACTTTTGTCTAAATTCCTTGTCCCCTCACAGCCTGGGAGGTGGGAGGATTTTATTACAGAACTTTGGGACCTGGCATCCAGAAAGGAAGTGGTGGAAAGTTCCAGAATGCTAACTATGGGGCTGGTAGTACTGTAAGTGCCTTTTTATGCATTAATTTTATGCTGGGTTTTGGGCTTTGTTTTGTTTTGTTTTTTTGAGATGAGGACTAGCTATGTTGCCCAGACTGTTCTTGAACTTGTGGGCCCAAGTGATCCTCCTGCCTCAGCCTCCAGAGTAGCTGGGACTACAGGTGAACGACACCACGCCAGGCTCATTTATGTCTATTTAATTTTCCCCACTCTTGGGAGGTAGTTGCTGTTCACATTCTCATTGTACGGTTGGGGAAACTGAGGCTCAACAAAGATGACAAGTGACTTGCCCAGGGTCACCCTGCTTGTAAACCCCCCTCCCCTGGTTTCTAACGTGCGGCCCTCGCACAGGTGGAGGAGCGCTTCTCCCGGGTGCCCGAGCCAGTTCAGAAGCGCATCGTGTTCTGGTCGTTCCCACGCAGCGAGCGGGAGATTTGTATGTACTCGTCCCTGGGCTACCAGCCCCCCGAGGGCGAGCAGGACGCCCGGGTGCCCTTCACCCGTGGGCTGCAGCTGCTGCAGAGTGGGGCCGTGGACCGTGTGCTGCAAGTGGGTGAGTGTCATCCCGCCCCTGCCAGAGAGGCCAGAGGTCACGGCGGGCCTGGAGGGGGAGGCCTGGGGCAGCTTCACACTCCGGCTCTGGGGCCCAGCTGAGCCCATACAAGCTACTGTGCATTAAAGCAAAGAGGCACCCCAGACCTCAGGCATAATGTGAAAGCCGGGGAAACAATGGTGAGCCAGAAAGTGGGGCATAGAAGGCCCTAGAACTTAGGCTCCGAGGCTCAGGGTGAAGGACAGAGCTGAGATCGTTCCAGACCCCAGGCGGAGAGTCACCGCAGCAATCAAAGTAGAGCCAGGGACACTCTGGTGGTCTTAGACCTCACAACCAGGCATAGTGGTTCATGCCTGCAATCCCAGCTACTCGGAAGGCAGGTGCAGTAGGATTGAGAATTTGAACTAGCATAGGCAAAGTTAGTGAGACCCTGTCTCAAAGACAAAATGCAAACCAGGTGCCAGTGACTCATGCCTGTAATCCTAGTTACTTGGGAGGCTGAGATCAGGAGGACCGAGGTTAGAGGCCAGCTCAAGCAAATAGTTTGTGAAACCTCATCTCCAAAACAACCAGAGCAAAATGGACTGGAGGTGTGGCTCAAGTGGTAGAGCACCTGCTTTGCAAGTGCAAAACCCTGAGTTCAAACCCCAGTCCCACCAAAACAAAATGGAACAAAAAAGGCTGGGGGCGTGGCTGAAGTGATAGAGCACCTGCCTAGCATGGATGAGGCCCTGAGTTCAAATCCCAGTACCGAAAAAAGATCCTAAAGATCTTAGAGGTCCTGCAGAGGGGCCCAGGTAGGGGAGGTAAGAGACAGTCCAGGCCTGGGATCAAAGTTTGGAGCTGTCTACAGCACAATGAATGACTGCAGGTCACAAGAATTTATTATGTATTTTATAAAGAATTAAGACAGGAGTTGGAAGCTTCCAAACACAGAGAGATGAGCAGTGTCAAGGAGCGGGAAAAGCCAATTACCCCAGTCTTATGATCACGCATGGCACTCACGTTTTCAATCACCACACCACAGCCCACGAATATGTACAATTATTGTGTGTTAGTTTAGAAAATGATTAAGTAAGCCAGTGCTGGGGCTCACACCTGTAATCCCAGGTACCTGGGAGGCCGAGATCAGCAGGTGGCAGTTTGAGGCCAGGCCAGTCAAATAAGACCCCATCTCAATGGAAAAAAAAGCTGAGCATGGTGGTGCATGCCTGTCCTCCCAGATACAGTGAGAAGCTTAAAACAGGAGGCTCGATGTCCAGTCCAGCCTGGACAAAAAAAGCGAGACCCCCATTTCCAAAATAACCAGCTCAAAAAGGGATGAAGGAGTGGCTCAAGTGGTAGAGCGCCTGCCTAGCAAGCATGAGGCCCTGAGTCGAACCCCAGTATGAAGTATAGGACAGCTGTGAGTGGCAGGCTCAGCTGCAGGCCCTAAGTGAGACGAGGAGACAAGTTTAGAGTTAGAATAGAAGCTTGATCCTAGACCTCAGGCAGCAGGCGCCATTCAGGTGGGGAAGAGGCACCAAACCAGAAGGAAAGGAAGAGTCCTACGGTGGGGGAGAGGTGCTGAGGGAGGAAAAGACCTTGGGCATCGAGGCTGCACCCGTGGAGGTTGAACCAGAAAAGAAGTAAGGTCTGGAATGTAGCCTTAACTTCCAGCTGGAGGCAGGAGCTGAGTCAAGGGTTGTCCCTTGCCTGGACATGGCCCAGCCAGCAGCAGGCCCCTGGCCACCTTGGTATGAGGAAGCCACCTCTGCATGACATAGGTTGAGCCTAAGTTGCCCAACCTGTCGGATGGGATGGGCCTGACAGACACCCGGCTGCCCAGGGGCCAGGGATGGGCGGGGGATGCAGGGTGCTCTGCCCCTGGCCTGTCCCCAGCATCCCCCCCACCTCTGGTGTCACACACAGGCCTTGGGCATCTTTCCAGAAGTTCAGAACTCCTTAGAACCCAGCTGTATCCATGGTAACCCAAGGACTGGTACATCATGGCTGTGATAACACTCTTTGTCATTAAAATCAAAACAAGGGCTTATTCAGGACTTAAGTTTATGTCAAAGTGTTCTAACCTCTTGTCAGCTATTAATCCATTTAATTAGTACAACCACATAGGAGGAGGATATTATTGTAGTTGAACAGGTGGGGAAACTGAGGCATGGCCAGGTTAATTGACGAGAGCTAGGTTTCTCAGCTGGGTGGTACATACGGGTCCTTTTTTGTATTTGGTGGCACTGGGGTTTGAACTCAGGGCTTTGCACTTGCAAAGCAGGCGCTCTAGCACTTGGGCCACACCTCCAGTCCATTTTGGTTATTTTGAAGATGGGGTCTCATGAACTGTTTCTCTTGGGCTGGCCCAAAAACCTGGATCCTCCCAATCTCAGCCCCCCAATAGCTAGGATTACAGGCGTGAGCCACCATGCCCAGCTGCATCTGGATCCTGCTGTGCTCCGCGATGAGCACCGCCTGCCCCTGGGGTGACCTGGCCTCAACTCTTCGCGTTTTGTTTTAGGGTTCCACCTGAGCGGGAACATCCGGGAACCGGGGAGCTCTGGGGAGCCCGAGCACCTCTACCACGTGTCCATCAGCTTCGACCGCTGCAAGATCACCTCTGTGAGCTGTGGCTGCGACAAGCGTGACCTCTTCTACTGCGCACACGTGGTGGCACTGTCACTGTACCGCATCCGCCACGCCCGCCAGGTGGAGCTGCGGCTGCCCATCTCCGAGACGCTGTCCCAGATGAACCGGGACCAGCTGCAGAAGTTCGTGCAGTACCTCATCAGCGCCCACCACACCGAGGTGCTGCCCACCGCCCAGCGCCTGGCCGACGAGATCCTCCTGCTTGGCTCTGAGATTAACTTGGTGCATGGTGAGGGCTGGCTCGCTGCCACCTTGCTGGCTGTATGCCAGGCATTTGTCACAGAATCCTCAGTCCCTCAGTATCCCAAAGAGCATATCTGTGCATCAGTTGAGGTCACTCTCCCCCCCCCACAGTGAGTGGCAGGTCCTGGATATAACTGGTTCTAGAGCAAATAAAGTGGTTAGAAAGGATTCAGTGCAGTGCCCCATGCCTGTAATCCCAGCTACTTAGGAGGCAGAGATCTGGAGGATTGCAGTTCAAGGCTAGCCTAGGCAAAAAGTTTGCAAGACCCCATCTCAACCAATAGCTGGGTGCGGTGGTGCATACCTGTCATCCCAGCTATGCAGGAAGCATAAACAGGAGGGTTGTGGTCCAAGCTAGCCTTGGCAAAAACACAGGACCCTATCCCAAAAATAACTAAAGCCAAAAGGGCTGGGCACCTCTGCCTAGCAATTACGAGGCCCTGAGTTCAAACCCCAGTGCCAAACCTGACCAAAAAAGTCGGGCAATGGATAGGGAGGGGTGAGCCCCAGTGCCAGGTCCAGCCCCCACCCATCTGAAAGTCACAGGAGCAGGCCCAGGTGTGGCAGGCATGATGGTGGTGTCATGGGCGTGACATGGTTGATAGAGTGGGAGGTGCAAGGGCAGGAAGCATCCACAAGTTCCCAGGGGCCGTGTTGTCTAGCTATGGTGGTGCGAAGATGGGTGGGTCGTGGGTCGTGGGTAGACACACTGACGGGTCACTGTGGGGGGCAGGGTGGGTGCAGAGAGCTCACGCTCAGGCACTGGGGTGAACAGATGGCGGGGTGAAGGAGTGAGGGGAGTGGATGGGTGAGGAATGAGCAGGGTAGGTGAGTGGCACTGGTGGTAATCGCAAGGGGCTCAGTAGCGGGGTGGGGGAAGGCTTTACTTGGGAGCACTAAATTGAAGTTGGTGGGGGAACAGAAGGACCAATGGGTGCACATGATGGGGTGAGTGGGTGGTCCGTGGAAGTTTGAGGACTCACAAGGCAGAGGGACAGAGTGGGAGAGTGTTTTGCCCAGGACGGTGGATGAGCCATTGGAGCTGTGGGATGTAACAATGGCTGGTCTAGTGGGGAGAAGAATGGAGAGCTGGGGCTCATTGGGTGGGTGGACAACACGGCTGGGGTCGATGGACGACTGGGAGGCTGACGTTGTTGAGTGGTCAGTAATACACGTGCTTTGGGCGGACACATGGGGAGAGGGCCGATGGAGCGATGGACATGGGTGGCAGTTGTGTGCAGGGTGAATGACGCGCTGACAGTAGGCAGTGTAGCGGGGTGAGCCTGAACTGAGACGGGTGATCTGGGCTGGAGTGCTGGGTGGGAGGTGGTGCAGGTGATGTGGATGGATGAGTAAGTGGACGAGTGGGTGGGGTTTTGGGTAGGTGAGTGAATCACGAGTGCTGTTTCAGTACCTTGAGTGGACTGGATGGATGAAGGTGAATGAAGGAGTTGGGGGTGTTTGGCCAAGGTAGGTGGGAGAGGGGAGGGATGGATGGATGATGGATGGGCGGGTGGGAGGGAGAGAGAGATGGGTGGGACAGATGGATGATGGATTGATGGGCAGATGACAGGTGGGAGGGTGGACAAATGGATGGGTGGGATGGAGGGATGATGGATGAATGGATGCATAGATGGATGGATGGATGGATGATGGGTGGGTGGATGGACAGATGTGTTTCTGGTGGGAGGGATGGAACTTTGGGATGGGTTGGGTGGTTTGGAGAAATGGACAGGCAGGAGAGGTGCTTCTCCGCAGCTCCAACTCCTGGCCCAGGCTCAGTTTTGTCCTTCGTCCCCGCAGGCGCCCCGGACCCCACAGCGGGCGCGGGCATCGAGGACGCCAACTGCTGGCACCTGGACGAGGAGCAGATCCAGGAGCAGGTGAAGCAGCTGCTGGCCAACGGCGGCTACTACGGGGCCAGCCAGCAACTGCGCTCCATGTTCAGCAAGGTGCTGCGCAGGCGCGGGCGGGGCGCGGGCGGGAGGAAGGCCCCGCCCCGCCCCGCCCGCCTCACCGCCCGCCCCCCCCCCCCCCCGCAGGTGCGGGAGATGCTGCGCATGCGGGATTCCAACGGGGCACGGATGCTCATCCTCATGACCCAGCAGTTCCTGCAGGACCCGCGCCTCGCCCTGTGGCGGCAGCAGAGCGCGGGCATGACGGACAAGTGCCGCCAGCTGTGGGACGAGCTGGGTAAGGGCCAGACCGAGCGTGGGCACCGGTAGGGGACATGCGTAATTATTAGTATTACTTTTTTTTTTTTTTTTTTTTTGGTACTGGGGTTTGAACTCAGGGCTTTCACCTTGAGCCAGTCCACTAGTCCTTTTTGTGTTAGGTTTTTTCGAGATAGGGTCTCGAGAACTATTTGCCCAGGCTGGCTTCGAAATGTCATCCTCCTGATCTCTACCTGCGAGTAGCTAGGATTACAGGCGTGAGCCACTGGACATGCATGCCCCACCACACCCAGTTTGTTTGTTCACTTAGGGTGTTCTGGGATTGGCCTTGTGCCTTAATCTTTCCAGTCTCTACCTCCCAAGTAGCTGGGATTACAGGCATGAGCTACCACGTCTGGCCCAACAATGTATAATTTTAAGGGTGTTGAGCATCCAGATTTTGGTATTCCTCTGGGGTCCTGGGGCCAACCTTGCATGATACACAGGGACAGCTGTATAGCATTTATTTATTTTGCAGGTTATAGATGGTACCCAGGGCTTTGCATGCGCTAGGCAAGTGCTCTACTCTACAACTGAACTATATCCCCAGCCCTAGTTATATACTAGTGGCAGAACCCCTGCCTAACAAGCACTGAGTTCAAACCCCAGTACAACCAAAGGGGAAAAAAAAAGGTTGCAGATTCACTTTTCTGCATGTGCAGCCTTTTTCTGGTGAAAAATGATAAAAAAAAAATACATAAGAGAAGCCCAGGAGCCTGGGTTTGACTCTTGACTTGTAGCTTAAGCAGTATGACCCTGAACGAGGTGTTTCTTTGTATCTCAGTTCTCTCACCCGTAAAGTGAAGAGACTATTACTTGCAGTTTTCAAGCATTCAGATCACGTACAACAGCATCTCCATACAGTAAGCACTCCATAAGTGTGCAGCTACTGTTGGTGTGAATGTTGAGCCTCCCGTGCCTCCCCAGGAGCCTTGTGGGTCTGCGTCATCCTGAGTCCCCACTGCAAACCAGAGGAGCGGGCAGGCTGGCTCCAGCTGCTGGGCACATGGGACAAGCTGGACATCTGCCCATTGGAGGAGGGTAACTACTCCTTTGACGGCCCTTGCCTGCAGCCCACCACAGCCCCCAGCACAGGTAGGAGAAGGGCTCGTGCCATCTCTCCCCAACAAAATCATCACTACTTCTATCATGGCAGCCGAGAGGGAGTGGGGGAGAGGCAGGGTGGCCCCAGCCACTGTCCATCTTCCCAACCAGAGGGAGCAAGTGCTGAGGGCAGGAGCCGTGGCAGCTTGAAAGACATCTGCAGCCCTAGGCTTGTCTTCTGGCTTGGCCTCCTATTACCAAGGGAGGCAGAGAGGGGATGGAGTGGCAAGTGGACAAGTGGTGTCAAACATAAGGGGAAGACGAGATACAGAGGAGAAATAAATGCAGAGATGGAGGGATGGAAGGAGTGATAGAGGCAGACAGAATAGATAGAAGGGGAGGGAGAAAGTGATATTGAGAAAGGACAGAAAAAGTAAGCAGTGAAGACAGAAATATAGTTATTCACCCTTAGTTTCCACCTGTGTGATGGGGCCACCAACACCCCCTCCACCACAGGCTGCTTTGGTGACTGCTCCACCCAGGGTCTAACCCCAAGTTGGTGCTGGGCAGAGGAAGCTGGCCTCAGCTTGACTGCTAGGACCTCCCTCACTGGACGCCATTGGGTGTCTCTCCCGCAGGCTCAGAGGAAGAGGAGATGGTGGCAGCCACAAGTCCCCGCCACACGGTGTTTGGCCGCGCCCTGCAGGCTGGAGAGCTGCACTGGACCGACCCCCACCTCCAGAGGATCCTCGCCAGTGACTCCTACGGCCCCACCCTCACAGGCAACACGGGTGGTGACAAGCCAGCTTTTGACCCGCAGGGCCGCCCACTGTGGCTGTGCGAACCTTTCCCCACCGCCTGTGCCCGTGTGGACACCCTGCGTGCCCATGGGTATCTGCAGAAGGCCATGCGGCTGGCAGGTGCCATAATCAACACACTTCGGCTGCAGAGGCGCCATCAGCTTGAGAGCTACAAGCAGCAGAAAAAAGGTGGGGAATTAGAGGGTCAATGGGTACCAGGAAATCAGACCACTCTCAGTGTCTTGCACAAGAAGGGATTTAATAATGGGGACTGAGGAATCACAAAACCGTTGGAAGCTCTGTAGGGTTGAAACGTAAGGAAGCTGCTCTCAGGTTCAAGAATTCAAGAGCCTGGGGGTGTCCCTTCAGCGGTAGACCGAGTGCACGAGGCCCTGGGGTTCTATCGCCAGCACCCAAAGAAACAAAAACTCATAAATGCAGGGATTGTGGCAAACTGCTAACAGCACTCTGCAGGTTTGGGGGCCCAAGAGGACACTCAGGACATGCTGGCTGAACGTCATGTTTGCACCCTGAAGATGGCCACACTTCACTGGTGCACTGGGACTGATGGAAAATCATGGTGCCATTCTTTCTGTGCTCCTGTTTCTTGTGCAAAGGAGTCTGGGAAATGTAGTTTGTAAGCTTCCAGTGTCTGCAGTAGAGGGAGGTGCCTGCCTCTTGTCTTTTAGGTCAATGGACCCCGTTAACTTCTCATATTTTGAGAGAGGCCAGAAACCTGGATTATTTGATGCAGATTTCACTCAGTTTGGAACATGGCAACAGCTGGGCACCAGTGGCTCACAGCTATAATCTTAGATACAAGGGAGGCTGAGATCAGGAGAAATGAGGTTTGAGGCCAGTCAGAGCAAATAGTCCTCAAGACCCCATCTCTAAAATAACAAGAGCACAATGGGCTGGAGGTGTGGTTCAAGCGGTAGAGAGCCTGCTTGGTAAGTGCTAAGCCCAGAATTCAAACCCTAGTCCCACCAAAAAAAAAAAAAAAATGAAACGTGGGCAACAAATTCAAATTTGTGCTCCAAAGACACTGAGCCAAAGAAGAGGTTTGTGAAGTAGACAGGAGAGAGGCTGCCAGCCGAGCTCTCAGGTTGGTGGAGCTCTTGAGTCAATTATCAGTGCCGTCCTTGTCCCTGGATCCTGCCAGGGTAGACGCCACAGGCATCACACAGATCTCCAGGAAGAGGATGGCCATGGGGTGGGCAGAGGGGCTCTAGGCTGGGGGTTTAGAGAGAGGAAGCTCCCCCCACCCCAGAGGCTTGGGTGGGTGGAAACTGAGCTCCCTCTTTCCCCTGCAGACCTGCTCCAGAAAGGCGCCACGTGCATCACCAACATGGAAGGCTGGGTGGGCCACCCCCTGGACCCCATTGGCTGCCTCTGCAGGGCGCTGCTGGAGCCCTGTCGCCTGGAGGAAGAGACCCTTTCTCTGTACCCAGGTACCCACACTGGGGACCAGAGGAGGAGGTGGGACCACCGCTCTCTGGCTCTCTGGTGACACCACACAATAACCCGTGGCCAGGCCCCTTGGTCAGTGCCCTAGGCTTACCCTCTCCTGACAGCTATGCCGCCATAGTCCGAGTTGCTACTTGGAGGAGCCTCACCCTCTGGAGAGTGTTGGGAAATTTGGGGGGAGGGTCTTCTTGCTTGGGGACAAGGGCCACGGGGGTCCCGAGGAAGGGGATCCATCTTTGACAGCCCAGGCTCTGTTTCCCCAGACTCAGGCCCCGATAAGCGGAAAATAGCCTACCAACACGTGCCTGTGCCCGGAAGTCCTGGCGAGTCCTACCTGGCGCTGGCGCTGGAGGTGGCACTGCTGGGGCTGGGGCAGCAGCGGGCCCTGCCCGAGGGACTGTACGCCCAGGACAAGGTGGTGCGCAACGAGGAGCAGCTGCTGGCCCTGCTGGAGGAGGTGGATTTGGATGACAGGCTGGTGCAGGTGCTGCGCAAGCAGGCGGGGCTGCTGCTGGAAGGTGAGGCCCCGCCCCTAGCCCCGCCTCCCGGCCCTTACCGTCCACTCATACACCGGGGCGGAGCCTAAAGGGGAGCTCAGCTCTTGGTCCCGCCCCTAGCGTGCGCTGACAACCAATAACTGCTTTGAGGAGTTGGGCCCCGCCCCCTTACGGTTAGCGCCAAAGGGCCTAGTCGCTGACGCTGGAAGAGGAGGGGAACCCACCCCAGGCTTGACGGAGGCTCCGCCTCCGCGTCCCATTGGCTCCGCCCACGACCTGTTCCTGTCGGTCTGATTGCTGAGTCTCGGGCCTTGCTCCCCTCTCGTGCTTCTCTACCCTGTTGGATGTACCTGCCTGGTCCTGGGCCAGGGTCCTCTATCCGGGCCACGTGCTGCCTCCTCTCCTCCCTCTGCCCCACCCTGCATGAGTCCTGCCTGCATCCACCTAGCGGCGCCTAGGGACCCCTCATTGGATTAGTCCAGTTCTTGGTTCAGCATCAGTCCTGAACCCCTGCCTCTGGCATCTTTCCGCCCCTCCCGTCTCCCTCTGGACACCTGGAGTCCGGGGAGACACCCAGGGGCTGATCCCGGGCTGTCCCTGCAGGTGGCCCGTTCAGCGGCTTCGGAGAAGTGCTCTTCCGGGAGAGCGTGCCCATGCACACCTGTGCCCGGTACCTCTTCACCGCGCTGCTGCCGCACGACCCCGACCTGGCCTACCGCCTGGCGCTCCGAGCCATGAGGTGAGGACAGGCCGGGGACACGGCCTGGGTAGGGGAGGAGCCCCCCAAGATCGAACTCACAGCCTGGTTATTTTAGCCTCCCTCATCTAGGCATTCAATGTTGCCATGTGGTTTTCATTCTGAAATATAAATGTAAAATACTATTTTATACCTAAGAAATATCCACACGGTACAGAATTCAAAAGATGCACAAAGCCAGATCTTTGCTGGCTCTGGATGCTTGTGGTTCTAAAATCCTGGCTACTCAGGAGGCAGCGATCAAGAGGCTCATGGAGGACTGGGGAGTGGCTCAAATGGCAGAGCACCTGCCTAGCAAGTGCAAGGTCCTAAGTTCAAACCCCAGAACTGCAAAAATAAAATAAATGAATGAAGAGGATCTTGGTTTGAGGACAGTCCAGGCAAATAGTTCACGAGATCCTATCTCGAAAAACCCATCATTGTAAAGGGTTGGTGGAGTGGTTCAAGTGGTAGAGCACCTGCCTAGCAAGTGTGAGGCCCTGAGTTCAAAACCCAGTGCTGCTGGGAAAAGGAAAAAAAAACTGAATGTTGTCCAAAGCAAGTTTATCTCAGTCTGCTGTGGTCAAGATTTCTGCAGACCTAGTAACTGGGAAATTAAAAGTTGGTTTTCTGGGCTGCTCAGTAATAGAGCACTTACAAAAGGCCATGAGGTTGATCCCCAGCACTACACACGTAGACACAACATATGTGCTTTTATCTATGAATTTATATTTATATGTAAATTATTTACATGTATATATGTATGTGCACACATTTTAGTAGCAACATAAAGTCATTCAACAAACATTGGTTCACCTGCTATGTACCAAAGCATTGTTCTGCCTGCTGTGGATGCAGGAGTGAACAAAATAGGCATAAGTGACAGGCAGAAAGGAGTCAGCCATCTTGTGTGGTGGTGCTCAGTGCACTGAGAGTAAAAGAACAAAGAAAGAAAGGGAAGGAACTGCAGTCTCACGCATGGTGGGAGGCGTCCTGTGTCTTCCTGGGCACCTGGCTGTTGGTCTCAGGCTGGAGCAGTGGCCTCTCCTGCTAGAGACAGCAGCCCCTCCTCACCTTCAGCTCTTTTCCCCCTCACTCCAGGCTCCCCGTGCTGGAGACAGCATTTCCAGCTGGAGAGCCTCATCCCAACCCACTGGACTCCATGATGAGCAACCGCTTCCCCCGCTGGTTCATTCTCGGCCACCTTGAAACCCGCCAGTGTGAGCTGGCCTCTGCCATGCTGACAGCCGCCAAAGGTGAGGACAGCGGCCATCCCCGTCCCCCCTTCTCTTCTCTCCTGTCTTCTCCTTGCTTTCATTCTTGACTTTCCTGTCCCAATTTTTTTTTTTTTTTTTTGGCATTGCCAGAGATGAACTCAGGCAGGACCTTATGCGTGCTAGGCCAGAGCCGCAACCCCAGCCCAAGCAGGTGGACTTTTAAAAAGTAAAGACCTAGCTAGGTACCAGTGGTTCATGCCTGTAATCCTAGGTACTCACTAGGCAGAGATCAGGAGAATCGAGGTTTGAAGCCAGCCCAAGCAAATAGTTCGGGAGACCATATCTCGAAAAAAACCCATCACAAAAAAGGGCTGGCATAGTGGCTCAAGGTGAAGGCCCTGAGTTCAAACCCCTGTACTGCAAAAAACCCAAAGCAAAGACCTGAAGGAGAGGGTGGAGAAGTGCAGCTCTTTGGGTCTTGGTCAGCTCTGGCTGCTGTAACAAAATACCATAGACTGGACGACTTAACAAATTTATTTCTCACAGATGTGGAGGCTGAAGTCTAAGATCAGGGTGCCAGGTAGGTTCTTGGCAAGCAAGGTGTCTCTGTGGCTTGCAGATACTGCCTTCTTAGTGTTCTCACATCGTGAAGGCTGGAGGAGAGGGAAAAAAAGAGAAAGATCTTTGTTCTTGTAAGGGCGCAAATCCCTGTATGAGAGCCCCACTCTCATGACATCATGTAACCCTAATTAGGTCTTCATCCATAGATACCACAGCACAGCATTGGGGAGTACAGCACATGAATTTGGGGAGAGAGGGAGACATAATTTAACCCATAGCTGCTGGGAAGAGCATTCCAGGCAGAGATCAGCTAGTGCAAAGGTCCTGAGGTTGGCTCATGTCTGGTATAATAGAGAAGAAGGTCTGTGCAATGGACGAAAGAGGGGGAGTAAAGGATCTGGACCAATGATAGGGGCTGGTGGAGTGGCTCAAGAGGTAGAGTACCTGTCTAGCAAGCGTTGAAGCCCCGAGTTCAAACCCCAGGACCACCAGAAAAAAAAAAAAAAAAAGATACATGTACTGATGATAGCAACAGTAGCAAGATCTAGCATTCAGGCTGGGATGTAGCTCTGTGGCAGAGCACTTGGGTAATTCCCAGCACTGCAAAAATAAAATAACCAAACTAGCATTTGTGTGGCCCCATAGTGTGTATTGAGGTCAGTCCGAGTAGAGTCTCCCCAGGCCCTGTGAGCCAGGCCCTGCTGCCGCAGTCTGACCCATGTTGCAGATGTCACAGCCCAGGCACAGAGAGGTGAAGTAAACTCCCTTAGGGTGACACAGCTTGTGAGTGACAAGAGATTTATACCCTGGCGTTCTGGGTCCAGAATTGATGCCCTTGGCGATTAGGGACGCTAGGTGGCCTCCTTCTGTTGGAAAGGAGTGGGGCAGAGTAGACAACAGGCAGGTGTAGGGTTGGGAGTCCCAAGGTGTCAATCTTTCCAGAATGACCAGGTCCCCGTGACTCTCACGAGCGCCCCCTGGCGTTGGAAGCCCTGTGAACAGGTCCACCCGTGTCCCTCCTTCCACCCAGGAGACCCCAAGTGGCTGCACACGGTGCTGGGTTCCATCCAGCAGAACATCCACTCCCCGGCTTTGCTCTTCAAGCTGGCGCAGGACGCCTGCAAGACGGCCACCCCGGCCAGCGCGCCACCGGACACCACCCTGCTGGGCATCGCGCTGGAGCTGGGCCTCCAGGTGAGGAACACTATGTAGATAGGGGAGGGGCGGGGGTGGGAGCCACACTTTCTGGGGGCGGGGCCTGGCTTGAGCCACACCCCTGGGGCGGAGCAGTAGACCGGATCCTTCTGTGTAAAGGTCTTGGAGATGACAGAATGAGCTCACCATGGGAGTGAGACCCGAGGATGAGATTCCTTTTGTAGTGTCGTGAACCAGGATGGAGGGGGTCACTGGAAGGGACGTGCAAGCTAGTAGATGGCCACAAGAGGGAGCACAGGTGCCACTCTGGTACTTGCGGGGGGGGGGGGCAGGAGCAGACCCTGGGGATGCTATTGGTTAATAAGAAGCTGGGTGGGCGGAGCTGAAGGTGAGGATTGAGCAGGGTCTGCCAATAAGGAGCTTCCATGGGGGTGGGGCCTTGAGCTGCAAAATTTGCAGCTGCAAATCCACGTCATGCCCAGGGGCAGGCAGGAAATGATCAGCAAGGGCAAGTTCAAGTCCTCCCCGGCTGCAGCTGTAATTGGGGAGTCAGCTGCAGGGCGCGTCCTCGAGCGACCTGGTGGGACCGGATCTGAGAGGCCACACAGGTATGAGGCCTGTGGGGAAGGGGCTTCAGAGGGTGCCTGAAGGTCAGTATTTTTTTTTTTTTTTCAGCAAGGTTTCACTGCGTAGTCCAGGGTGGCCTGTAACTCTGATCCTCCTGCGTCAGCCTCCCAAGTTCTGGGATTACAGATAGGCACCACTATGCTAGGTGATACTGTTTCTATCCTCGTTTTATAGATAAGGAACCTGAGGCCAGTGAGTCCAGGTTTGTTGGGTCAGCTCAATCTCCAAGTGTCCTTAAGGGTCCCCCAGGTCCCAGCCCGGCTTCACAGGCTGACATGAGGTTCTGAAGGACCCCCTTGTCTCCCCTGTCCACCCCACAGGTGATGCGGGTGACCCTGAACACCATGACCTGGCGCCGGAGGGAGATGGTGCGCTGGCTGGTCGGCTGTGCCACAGAAATCGGTGAGAGCCCCAGAAGGGACATGCTACCCCGCCCTGTCCACTTCTGGATGTCACTGAGGGAAGCGGGGTGGCAAAAGAGAAAAGGAGAAGCCGGGTGCCAGTGGGTCACGCCTGCAATCCTAACTACTTGGGAGACTGAGATGGGGAGGATCGTAGTTGGAGGCCAGCCTCAGCAAATAGTTCATGAGACCCCATCTCCAAAATAACCAGAGCAAAATGGACTGGAGGTGTGGCTCAAGAGGTAGAGCGTCTGCTTTGCACGCTAGAAGCCCTGAGTTTGAATCCCACTCTCACTAGAGAAAGAGAGAGAAAGTAGAGACTTTCCCAGAATTCCAGGCGGGGAGGGAACAGCAGGCAGTGGGAGTGGAGGTGGACAAAGACCTGATGACTGGCCAGGATAAAGCAGCTCCAGAGTGGAAAAGGGCTCCCACACACCTGATTCCCATCCAGCCCAGCTACCTCCTGCTTTTTTGGATAAGTGAAAAAAAAACTTCTGTCCATGCCAGGCGCCAGCACTGGGAAAGCTGAGGCAGGAAGATCTCTGGTTCAAAGCCAGCCTAGGGTATATAGGGAGACCCTGTCACAAAGAGTGACTGGGCAGGGGGTGTGGCTTCATAGTAGAGTGGTTGCCTCACCTGCGTAAAACCCCAGGTTCCATCCCCCAGCACCAAAAAAGAAAAGAAAAAAATATAGGAGCCCTGCTTCGGTGCCTCACTTCTCTAATCCTAGCTACTCAGGAGGCAGAGATCAGGAGGACTGCAGTTCGAAGCCAGCCTAGGCAAATAGTTAGCAAGACTCTATCTTGAAAAACCAATCACAGGAAAAGGGCTGGCAGAGTGGCTCAAGGTGTAGCTCTGAGTTTCTACCCCAGTACTGGAGAGAGAGACGCAGAGAAGTGGCAGAGCTAGGTCCACAGCCCAGGGTGTGTGTGTGGGGGGAGTTGGCAGTGACTTGCTAGCCGGTCCCTGTCTCTGAACCATGTCTCCCTCCCTCTCCCCTCCACCTCCCACCAGGTGCACAAGCACTCATGGATATCATGCAGAACTGGTACTCCCTATTCACCCCGGTGGAGGCGGCCACCATCGTGGCGGTGACGGGCACCACGCACGCCACGCTGCTGCGGCTGCAGCTGGACACAGCCCGGCGCGAGGAGCTGTGGGCCTGCGCACGCACGCTGGCCCTGCAGTGCGCCATGAAGGACCCGCAGAACTGCGCCCTGCCCGCGCTCACCCTGTGCGAGAAGAACCACGCGGCCTTCGAGGCCGCCTACCAGATCGTGCTGGACGCGGCGGCTGGTGGCCTGGGCCACGCGCACCTCTTCACAGTGGCCCGCTACATGGAGCACCGCGGCCTGCCACTGCGCGCCTACAAGCTGGCCACGCTGGCCCTGGCGCAGCTCAGCATCGCCTTCAACCAGGACAGCCACCCAGCCGTCAACGACGTGCTGTGGGCCTGCTCGCTCAGCCACTCGCTGGGTCGCCACGAGCTGTCGGCCATCGTCCCGCTGATCATCCGCAGCATCCACTGCGCGCCCATGCTCTCCGACATCCTGCGCCGCTGGACCCTGTCAGCGCCCGGCCTGGGCCCGCTAGGGGTGCGCAGGGCCACCAAGCCACTGGGCACCGATCGGGCACCGCTCTGCCAGCTCCTGGACGCTGCGGTGGCCGCCTACATTGCCACCAGCCACTCGCGCCTCACGCACATCAGCCCGCGACACTATGGCGACTTCATCGAGTTCCTGGGCAAAGCCCGGGAGACCTTTCTGCTGGCGCCCGACGGGCATCTCCAGTTCGCCCAGTTCCTGGACAATCTCAAACAGACCTACAAGGGCAAGAAAAAGCTCATGCTCCTGGTGCGCGAGCGATTCGGCTGAGGGGACGCAGGCGACAGCCGATCCCCATGCCCCGACTCCTGACTCCTGCCCTCCGCGGTGGCCCGAGGGGCGGTTCAGTATTAAGGCAGGGAAAAAGGCCTGGCCGCAGGTGGCCGGCGGGAGGTGGCGTCCTGTCACGCGCGTGCCTAGCAGTGTGCAAATGAGTGTGCAAGACTCCGGAGCAGAAGCCATACCGCCATCCTGGAGCCGGAAGGGGCTGCGTGCTTTTTTGGGCGCCCCATGAGCCATAGGCAAGCGCCCCCTCCCCCCAACGGCATGGCTGGGGCTGGGGGAGGGGCTGGGAGGCGGGAGTTTAAAGAAACCGGCCTTCAAAATCAATGTAGCAGACCCACGGACCCCACCTCGGGTGGCCTGGGGACTTCATAGTAGCTCCTCTAGATCCTTCTTTGTTCCTTCCCTTGCTTCCCTCCCCCTATTGCTCAGGGGCTCCCCTTCCCGGCCCTGCACCCCCTCTTAGGCTGCCCAGCCAGGACCAATGCCCCGTCCCCACCGGAGGATTTCAAGAGGTCTTGGGCCTCAGCCACATACCTCACCACCTGCCCGCTGTCCAGCCAGGATCCCTGTCCCTTTGGGCACCAGGGTCCCAGAGTGGGCTGGATGGGTCCTCATCGCTGTCCTGTCCCCAAACCCGATAGTCACTGGACATAAACTCAGGAACCAGCCAGGGTCCAGGCTACCCTCCGAACCTGGTGTCAGGGGCAACCAGAGAGCCAGTGACACCCCCAGCCCACCCACCAACTGGAAAGAAAAGAGATGGGCGGCGTGGCGTGTCCCGGCTCTGCCTGTCTCTCCCTTTCCTGGTCCCCGCTCTCTCCCGTCTTCTCACTGTGTCCCATAGTTCCCCCTGGTTATCCTGCATTTTCTATTTTGCATCACTCTTAAGTCCCAGCTGTGGTCTCTGTGGCGTCCCTTCCCTCCCCTGGGACGAGGAGGGAGCACACCCCGCCCTCTCGGTCTCCTCCCTCCTTGTATATTAAGGAAAAAGGTCGTGTTATTTTGTAACTTTTTTTCTATTTATTGAACCATATATTGTATTTCCTTTTTTTTCCATTTTTTCAAGATTGTACGCAGCTTTCTTTTTAACTTTTGCGATTGAGTGGGGTGCAGCCCCCTCACCACCCTGGGCCAGGGCCACCCCTTGCTCCCTCTGCCAGAAGTTATGTGAGTGATAGCAAACGTGCTTTGGAGTGGGCTTTATAAGCAAGCACAGTGCTGGGAGCTTTGCAGGTTTCGCATGATTATCACGACAGCCCTTTAAATCGGTGGGAGATTATCATTCCCATTTTACAGATGAGAAAACCGAGGCACCAAGGAACCGAGGTAGAAAGCAACCAAGCTCCATTTAGTACCAAATTGCACGGCCCTTGCACCACTAGGAAAGGCCCGCGAGGGGGCGCCCTGGCCCCAGACGCTCGCCATTGTGGAGGGGGCTTGTCTGCAAATAGCCGAGCACCGGAGGTCGGTGATTCGGGTGCCGGGTGCAGCTGGGTGGGGAAGACACCAAGCCCAAAGGCGGGAACCCTGGAATGAGACCAGGCCTTGAAAGGTGTGGCTCCGGGCTGCCAAGGCGAGTGGGCGTGGTCTGGGTGGTGACGTCATCTGGGGCGGGGTCCGGCGTGTCTGGATCTTTTAACCAGAGCAGATGAGGCTCTCAGGTTCCCAAGTAGAGCGAGGGATCTGGGGGACGTCGGGAAAGCGCTTCGTGATTTTCCTTTGCTGGCTTCCCGAGAAGCGACTCCCTTCCAGCTTTTAAGAAAGAGAGGGATGAGCAGCCGGATTGTCAGGGTCACTGTCAGGGCCGGGGCAGACCAGGACAGCGAACCCGGTGGGGCGGGCGCTAGGGGGCGCCCTTGCGCGCGCAGTCGGGGGCGGGGCTCCGGCGGTGATTGGCTTATGGCGCCGCCAGTCCCGCAGGTATGTGCGGGCGGACCACGGCCAGGCCGCTTGCTCTCCAACGCCACCTGCAGGACGCCGCAGCGGCTGCACCCGCCGCGGGTCCTCGCTGCTTCCAAATGTTGTGATTGGATCCGGTGCGCCACTCAGGACCTTGTCACCCAAATGTTTCAAAGCTCCCTTCTAATATTTTCCGATACCAGGCACCCCAAATAACCTCTCCCCCCCCAAATGTCACTAGGTTAAGACCCTGAGGTCTAAGTTACCTCGCTCCTCAGGGTCACCCACAACCCCAGGGCACCTCTCAAGGTCACTCCATACATACGAACCTTCCTGGAGCAGGTGGGAGGAGGATGGGGATCAGGTGAGGTCAAGGACCCCAGGGTTCAAGAACACAAATTCAAAAGCCATTAATTCAAGGATGACAGGAAGGAATGATTTAGGAACATGAGACTGAGGACTGAAACTGGGCCAACTTTTATTTAGTTGGAACAGGTGCCACACACAACACAAACTGCCCCTACCTCCCCTAAGTCTCTGTCTGCCCTTGCCCAGGGTGCAGAAAGGGGACGGGGCCAGCCCTGATGGCCTGAGGAGTTTCACTCTGCCATTGTCCCATCTGGTCTCAGACTTTTCAACTCTTTCAAGCCCAAGTCATGGAGGAGCTGAAGAGACCACCCAAGGAGTGAAGGATGGGCCCCAGGACTAAGCAGGCCTGCTGTGTCCTTTCTGGGCACACATGTGGACCTTGTTTCCTGTCCCATGTGTGGAATGGGTGTCTCTGTTCCCCCTCCCAAGTTGGAAAATGGTGGGGCCCAGGACAAGGGGGCCAGGCATACCGGGTTCAGCTCAGGTCCCGGAAGCTGGGAGTTGGCATTTAACGGTCAGGGGCCTAAGACAGCTTCCTCTTGGGTAAGTGGCTGCTGGGAAGGGGCAGGCTGGAGGGCCTGTGCCCCGGCTAGGCTTAGAAGAAGAGGGACTCGAGGGGCTGGGATTCCAGGTGCAGAGGGGACGCAGCTAGCTAGCTTCCCTTTTAATGGAAGGGTGACGCACCATCCATCTGTGGATATCCATCTGTCCACCAGTCCAAGGTGTGGGCACAGGAGGGTACCCACGTGCAGAACCACAGTGGGTGGCAGGAACCCCCGCCACCCCATCCCTCCCACATGTCCCTCCTTTGGCCACATCTGGAACTGGATCCTTGTCTCAGCTCCAGGCGTCGGCTCCCCCAGGGACGGACTCCGAGGGGGCTCGACTCCTGTTCCTGCTGAACTGAGCCAGTACAATCTAATCAACTGTGTTTCAGCTCAGTAGGCACGGGAGGCAGAGCCCAGGGAGGCCGAGTCCAGGGAGGCTGGGCAGGAGAGGCCGGAGGGCCTGAGGAGGTGGGGGCCCGGGGGGCGGAACTTAGCCACTGTGAACATGACTTGGTGTGGACCCTGCTCACAAGCAACTAAGCCCTGCTCCTCAGGCCAGGTGTCACACGGGGTGGGGCTCTCTGCCCCCCCACCCCCCATCCCGGGACAGCAGACATCCTCAGTGACAGTGGCCCCCGGAGGCAGAGCACAGGGTCGGTTGGAAATCCCTGGCAATGTGATTTGTGACAGGCAGCAAATCCCATCCCCAGGAACCCCAGCCGGCCATGGCACAGGGTCGGGGGATCACCAGGTGGAGCTGGAGGGTGGCACCTAGAGGGGAGAAAGCAAAAGAGGTCGTGAGATTTGGGGATACCTCCCATCCAGGTACCCGCCTGTCTCCTTCTGACACCTGGCAGGAAAGTCTTCTCCCAGTGTCAGGAGCAATGACGGAAGAACCAAGCTAGCAAGCGGCACCCCTGACCCAGGCAGGGCTCTCTGTCCCAACCAGACAGAGGCACAGATACCAAAAAATGAATTTCACAGGACTGGGCACGGGCTCCTCGGTACAGTGCTAGCTTAGCTTGCGCGAGCCCTGGGTTCCACCCCCGGCACCACCAAGAGCCTTTTCAGGCCAAAGAGGCTGCAAGAGCCCCAGAAACCAGTATCCAGCCAGCTCACTACTCCTCCCCAGCCAACCCCACCCCCCCACCAAGCCCTAACCAGGCCGAATGGGGCCATGGTAGAGGAAGCCGAGGGGCGGCGGGCAGGAAGTGATGTCACCCCAGCTGGCGCCACTTCCTAGAAGCCTGAAGGGCAGGAGGAAACCACCAGGGCCTCCCCCCACCGCCTTGGCCTCGTCTCCTCCTCAATGGCCAGGCCTTAGCCTGCACCCCACCAGGGCGGATACTGCCACGCAGCGCCTGACTCTCCCTGTCCCTGGACACACATGTCCCCCCACCAGGAGCACAGGACCCAGACAGGGCACAGGAACCGCTCGAGTAGCTGCTCCTCAGTTTCCTCATCTGTAAAATGGACCGAGAGTTTCTACCGAGTAGGCCAGCAAGTGTTCACTGAGGAGGTGTATGGGACTCACCAAATGCCCAGCACCAGGACAGGTCACTGAATTAGGGGGGCCTAGTGTAGAATGAAAATTCAGGACGCTTTTTTTTTTTTTTTTTTTTGCCAATTATGAATATCATGGGGGTGCCAAGTGCGATGGTACACTCCTATAATCCCAGCCCTCGGGAGGTGGAGGCAGGAGGATTGAGAGTTTGAGACCAGCCTGGGCTACACTGTGAAACCTTGTCTCAAAAACATAAAAAGATAATTTCTGGGGGTGCGGCTCACCAAAATCAATAATAATAAAATTTCATGGCAGCCACATAACATTAAACTGAATTCAAGTCCTTCCAATAAAAAGGGACCTTGAGATCCACACGTCACACACCTACGTCCATGACTAGAAGACCCCAATTCTGGAGCAACTCTGCTCATATTTGAAACCCACCCCGCCACCCCAGGTCTGTGGCTTCTTTGCTGGGTGACCCCAGCCAAGCCACTCTACCTCTCTGGGCCTCAGTTTCCACCATCTGCAACACAACAATAATAAGTGTCTACTTCGTAAGTGATTGGTGGGAGATGTGTAGTGACATATGTAAATCAGGACACAGCAAATGTCCTTCTCCAAGCAGGACACTGGAGAAGTCGCCCACACTGGAGGACCAGGCTGGAACTTTGTTCCTGACCACGCACACACACGCTATCCTTTTTCCCAGGAGGCCCCAGCCCTGTCCCTGTTGGGTCTGGGGGCATCAAGTGGGAGCAGCCCAGGCCCCATCGGGCGGCCAGCCTCCCAGGCCGCCTCCGGAAGTGAGACAGCATATTTCTGTCCCAGGGACGAGAACGGGAAGGGCGGCCATTTGGCCAGGCCTGTTTCCTGTGGGGTTTCCCCTACACAGAGCCCAGGGCTGGGGCCAAGGCCACTCCCCATCCCCACAGGCACAAAAGGTCTGGGTCTCGAGTGGACAGGGCACTGCCCAGGGGCAGGGTGTGGGAGGGGGACTGGGCCATTCATACCATGCTTGTCAGGCTCGTGTGACATGGGGCCTGGAGGAGCCATGCTCCTAGCACTGGAGGTATTTGGCATAGGGTGAAGACCCCGAGGCCAGGTCACAGAGTGGTCCCCAGGCTGTTCCAGGCCACCCCACCCCACCAGCCACTGTGTGTGCATCCAAATGCATGGTTACAGATATGGCAGGCAGCGTGTGTGCCCTCCAGCCAGGCCAGCCCCAATGCACCGCGCCCCCCCCAGCCCAGGCTCCCAGAGTGAATTGGGGGTGGCTTCCGCCGGCGGGCCCCTGCCACAGCCGCCACCAAGCCTGATCCTCAAATACTTTCCACCCTCACAGAGCAGCTGGGATCGGAAAATACCAAGGACTGCAGGCCCCGCCCTGCCTGCCGCTGCCACCGCCCTCCCAGCCTGTCACTAGTGCTTTGCCTAATGGGTCAGATTCTTAACAGAAGCTCCAGGGCCGGGCCCCGAGCCAGCCGCCAACCTGGCCCCCCACCCTCTGCTCAGATCACCAAGCGCTGACAATAACAACCGCCCCAGTGCCACTGAGCAGCCCCAGGAGGCTGGCACCAGGATGGAGGAAGCCTGGGTGGGCTGCATTGCCCACCCAGGGCTGGGGTCGGGGGAGACTCAGGAAGGGGTGCACAAGTGAGGGTTGAACCACTTGTTATAAATAGGGGACATGAAACCCATGTCCCAGCTCCCACGGTGCCCGGCCAGCCACACTTCATCCATCTTTAGACTTTAATCCTGCCGAAGCCAATCTGAGTCCCCAGGGGCGCCCTGACGTCCACACTGGAGCCCTTAACTGAGGGGTCCACCCCCACCAGTGTGCCCACACCGCCTGCTCCGACAGGTCAGGCATTTGCAAAGCCTGGTCTGGATTTGGGGCCACCAGCTTTCATAGGTTCTGTCTCCTTGACACACCAACAGTTCCCAGGCCCCCGACTCATGGTCCTTGGACTCCCCAAGGCGTTCTTGGAGGTGTGGGTGACCACAGTCCCCTGGATGGTGACGTTGGAAAACGAACCAAGGAGACGCCATGTGGCTTGGCATCAACAAGTCACTTCCCTGGCCCCCTCGCCACCACCTCCCCGCATCCCAGACCCACAGCTCAGCTCTGCCCAGGGCCCACAGCTGAGTGACCACACCCAGGGTGGCGCCAGCTCCAGCACCCTGGGGCAAGGCGCCGCTGGAGTGTGACTCAGCTGTGCCCAGCATGGCAGCCTCCTCTGCCCACTACCCTCAGTGTACATCTTTCCCCAGTGACCAGCCTTGATGGCAGGGGTGATGACACACCGCTGTGTCCACTCAGGACACCTGACAGCAGGAGGGAAAGGGACCACAGAGCCCCTCAGGGATCTGAAGTCCAGGGCCTGGAATACAGCGGAGAGCTATAGTGTTTGCTGCACCGCTTCCAAATGCTCCCAGTTTACAGATGGAAAAACTGAGGCA